CTGTCAGCATCAGCCTCCATGGCTGCACACTCAACCTCACTAAGCCAGTCAGGAACCTGGGTATCTTGTTTGACCCTGAACTGTCCTTTCTCCCCCACATCCGCGCCGTGACCGGCACTGCCTGCCTCCACCTCCGCAATATTGCCAGACTCTGCCACTGCCTCACCCCTCAGGCTGCCGAAACTCACCCACGCATTCGTCACATCAAGGCTCGATTATGGAAATTCCGTCCTCATCGGCCTTCCCAACTCTTCCCTTCACAAACTGCAGATCATCCCAAACTCTGCAGCTCGTGTACTCTCACGCACCAGGCTCCATGACCCCATCCCCCAAAGAATCAAGTTCAAGATCCTCGTCCTCACCTTTAAGGCCATCCATGGCCTTGCCCCCTCCTGTCTCTCTGACCTGCTGTTTCCCTACCAATCTACTGGCTCCCTCAGTTCAGGGGACTCCAGCCTGCTCCATGTCTCCCGCCCGACCCGCCCTATCATCGGTGGCTGAGATTTTAGCATCTCTGCCCCCACACTCTGGAACTCCATCCCACAGTCCCTTCACCTCGCTTCCTCCCTTGCCTCCTTCAAGGCCAGTCTCAAGACCCTCCTCATCGATCATGCCTTTGGTCGTCCTCCCACCTCTCTGCCTTCCCTCACCCCTACCCCCTCCTTCCCCCATGCTCGGGTCCTGACCCCTGACTGTCCAGCGCCTTGGCACGTTTCCCCGACGTGAAAGGCTCTCTATAAATGTAATTTTGTTGTTCCTGTTGTTGTTGAAATGATCCTTGCATCTGATACAGCACTTTTCACATCAGGAGGACATCTTGAAGCACTTCAAAGGATATATACTGTATAGTGCAGTGACTGTTTTTGTGAATGAACATGGCAGCCAATTTGTGCATAGCAATGGGTCATAACAGCCAAGGTCTGAGTGGCCATTTTTTATTGGGGGCCAGAACACCAGGAGAAACTCTCTTCACTTTTTGAATTGCGCCATAGGATCTTTAACGTACACCCAGAGAGGCAAACGGGACCTCTGTTTAATGTCTCATCCGAAGGGACGACACCTCTGCCAATGTAGTGCACCTCCAGCACTACATTTGGAGCATCAGCAACAAACCATAGCAATAACTTGCATTTAAATAGAGTCTCAGAGTGTTTAACAGTCACAGAGGTTGACACTGAGCCATGGAGAGTGGAGAGGTGACTAGGCATGGTTGAAGAGGAAGGTCTTCAGATGTCATCTGAATATCAGGGAGGAGGAGACAAGGTGGAGGGACTGAGGAAGAGAATTCCATAGTTTTGAGGTGTAGTAGCTAAAGGAATGGCAGATAGTGGAGCGGAGGGAATGAGGGACATGTAGGAGCCTAGACTGAGCTCAAAGTCCTGATGTGGGGCTTTAACCCACATCTTTCTGATCATCAACAACAACTTGCATTTATATAGCACCCCTCACACAAGTAGCGTCCCAGAGCGCTTGACGGTGACAGAGAATGATTCGGGGGGAGGTGACCGTAGGCACTGACAAATAGGAAGGTCTTTAGGCAGGACCTGAAAATGGGGAAGGAAGGGGCAAGGCGGGGGGATAGAGGAAGTGTTCCAGAGTTTCAGGGCGTAGTGGCTGAAAGCGTCGGCCGCCAATGGTGGAACGGAGAGCACAGAGGACATGCAGAAGGCCAGAGCCAGTCAAGCATTGGGTTGTGGGTTTGGGGTTAAGCAGGTCGGAGAGGTAGGAAAGTGCCAGGGCATGAAGGGATTTGAGTGTGAGGATCTTGAAATTGGCCTGTTCGGTGATGGGGAGTCAGTGGAGCTGGGCTAGAGCTGGCCCAATTGAGCCAGCGTAACCCTATCCTCCCCTGTGTAGTTTTGAGCTGACAGATGTTAATAGATGAACTGGTTCACATTAGGCCTGTTACCATTCTCCATAAAGCAAAATTCTTGCACAACATTTGCTGCCATGTAACTAGGTCCAAAGGAACTATTTGGCCCAACTCTTTGCCTTAAACGCCTATGCTGCCCTCGAGTATTAAGTTTGACACCTGATCAAAGTGCAATTGTCTGGTGCCATTGAGGCTCTGGTAATATTGTGACACAACATTGTACTCTCTGACATTCATCTGCTTGGGGGAGGATATCATATTTCTTACCTCTAGGAAACTGCTTGGATCAGCTGTATAATTTATAACCATACCCGTGAAGTACCCATTGAAATGAGATCCTCCAACAGCTTCCAGTGCAGTTGTTGCGCCAGCCTGTTTGATTCCAATGTAAAGTTTTTCCATTCACAACTGATGTAATACAATGCCACCGTATTAAAGAACAAACTCTTTATTGAACTCTGCACTGAGGACTTTGTGGGAATGGAAAAACGTTTTGCAGTTCTTCAAAGTTGTACCCTTCGTCTTCTAGCCAAACCCTTCCGTCCCGCCCCGCACCATCCCTCTCAGTTTTCAAAACTCGGCTGAAAACCTATCTCTTTCCTTATCGGTCACCTCCCTCTGATCCCTTTTGTCTGCCTCCCCAGTTTGGTTCTTGTTCAGTCTTTGAAGTGTCCCATTGCCCTGGCTTCAGCCACCCTTCCTGGCAATCGGTTCCAGTTGTTAATTACCCACTGGGTAAAGAAAAGGTTACTAGAGTCTTGTGAAATTGTCTCTTGCTACTTTAAACCTGTGTTCCCTTGTTGTGTTACCTTGTGCATTTGTATGTAGAAAATATGGCAGCTGATTTGACCAATTAAGATTTATTTTCTCTCTGGGAGAATTAGGATTCAGGAGACTGTTAGAATTTTTTTGCTGGAAGAATGTTGCTCAGGATACTGGGAAAACTCACTATTCTTTTAAATACTGTAAAGTGTCGTGACTGTATATTTTGTGGGCGAATCTTTAAATCATAAAGCGACTCTGCCAGTCCGGCCATACATTTCAAATTAAACACTATCACCATCACATAATGCTCTTGACAATTTACAAAAGTAGTCACTATCCTTGGCAGTAATACTCTGCTGAATAATTCAAAACATTTCAACATTACAAATGCAAGGATTATAGTCATATTATCATATCTTCCTTGCATTTCATATAGAGCGAAAGAGGAATATTTAATGTCCATCAGCCAGGTTAGAATCTTAATATCTTACAGTGCAGGAGGCGGCCATTTGGCCATCATGCCTGTGCCGGCTCATTGAAAGAGCTATCCAATTAGTTCCTTTCCCTTTTCCCCATAGCCTTGCAATTTTTTTCTTTTCAAGAATCTATCCAATTCCTTTTTGAAAGTTATTATATCAGTGGATCGTGTTCAGCAGTAATAATCCTTTCAAAAAAATTAGTAGTAGTATTATTGAATCTGCTTCCACCACACTTTCAGGCAGTGCATTCCACATCGTAACAACTTGCTACACAAAAAAAATCTTCTCTTCCTTTTGGTTCTTGGCCGAATATCTCATTCCAAATATTGGGACCTATAGCATATTGTCTGCACTGGAGCATCAACCTAAATTATAAACAAATGCCCCACAAACTTTCCGACCCTGAGGAGAGAGTGTGATACCAACTAAACCAAACCGATACATTTTCATCTCCTGATGTCCTTACAAACAATCCTCCAGATAAATTGGTCATTCACCACCTGGCTGTTTGTGGGACATTGTTATGAACACATTGGCAGCCAAGCTTTCCTACAAAATACACTGTTGCCTATACTCACAATTCAAGGCAAACACATTCAAGCTCTAACACTTCAACTGTAAAGTTTATTATTTTAAAATGTGAAAACATTGCCACCTACTGTCAAGCCTCTCCAACATGATACCAAAATCTTTTAAAATAAAGACTTCACCCTTGTGTTTGATCTAGCGCCTTATCACTTTCCTTGAAACGTCTCAAAACACTTCATAGGATTTGACAGTAAAGTCCAGTGACTGTGTATTTATGACTGATTTGCACACAGCAATGTCCCACAAACAGCCAAGTAGTAAATAAATAATTTTATCTGGGGGATTGTTGGCCAGGATGCCAGAATCTCTACATCCATGTGAGCAAGCAGACAGGACATTGGTTTAATCTCTCATCCGAAGATGGCACCTACAGTTATACTGTGCTCCTCCCAACACTTTGTTGCACTGTCAGCCTAGATTATGAGCTCAATGTTCTGAGTTGCAGCTTGCAGAACCTTCTGACTGATTGCATTCTGACTTATGCTGCGTTATCTTACAAATACACTGTTACTACACTTCACAGTAAGCATTGATGAGTTGATAAGGCTCTATATGAAATACAAGGAAGATATGATAATATGACTATAATCCTTGCATTTGTAATATTGAAATGTTTTGAATTACTCAGCAGAGTATTACTGCCAAGGATAGTGACTACTTTTGTAAATTGTCAAGAGCATTATGTGATGGTGATAGTGTTTAATTTGAAATGTATGGCCGGACTGGCAGAGTCACTTTATCCTTGCATTTGATATAGCGCTTTTCACGTTGGAAGGACGTCCCAAAGCGCTTCACAGAACACACTGTAAAGTGAATTGACTGTATATTTGTGGACGAACGCGGCAGCCAATTGTACACAGCAATGTCCCACAAACAGTCATAGATTGAAAATGACCAATTTATTATTGTTTTTGTTTTTTTTGGAGGGATTATTATTATTAGTCGTGTGGAGTAAGGAAACTTGCCCAAGGTTTCGCCCTCTGCCTGGAATTGAACTCAGGTCTCTCACTTGCAAAGCGAGTGCTCTAACCACTGAGACAGGACTCCACTTTATGATGTAAAGATTCGCCCACAAAATATACAGTCACCATACTTTACAGTATATTCTGTGAAGCGCTTTGAGATGTCTCGAAGATGTGATAAAGCACTGTATCAAAGGTGAGGATTATGATTATTATTATAAAGTGAGGGGTCAAGCAATGTTTCTTTAAGACGCACGGCGATGGCCGCAGTGGGTAGTGTCGCTTTAAGACGCATGGCGGCGGGGTGGGGGGCAGTGTCGCTTTAAGATGTACAGGGTCAGTGGGCAGAGTCGCTTTAAGACGTACAGCGGTGGGCAGTGTCGCTTTAAGACGCGCGGCGGTGGCGGGGAAGAGAGCGCAGTGTGACGTCGCTTTAAGCGGGCGGCGGGATGGTGGCGGACTCTCGGGCTCAGGTGAGAGCTTTGTCGCGCGGCCGAGGGCTGAGGGGAGTTGAGGGGGTGAAGGCGCGCGCGGAGTGGGGGAAGCACTGGCCTCACCCTCACCCCAGTCATTGTTTGCCGGGTGAGGCCTGGGGTCGGAGGCGGCCGTGACTTGCACTTCACCCGCCCGAGGCCTGAGGGAAGCCGCGGCCTGGAGTTCGGGGCTGGAGCCGGGCCCGGCGGGGGAGGGGCTGCCAACGGCACACCGCCCCCCCACAGCTGCTTTACTAGGCCCCGACTGTAGGCCCAAGCCTCGGTCTGCCGTAGAGCCTGGGCCCGAGGCCAAGTGACTAATAGTAATCCTGACATTTGACCCAGCGCTTCGTCACGTCCTTCGAGATGTCTCAAGGCGCTTCACAGGATACACTGTAAAGTGTAGTGACTGTTGCTGTGGGCGAAATATACAATCACTATGTGACTTGGAACTAAAGTCTGAGCCCAACTGCTTGTGTTGGGGAAATAAAGCTGATGATCTCTGGGGGTGAAGTAATTCACTTGTGGCTCAGCTCATTCGAATGGTTTGTACTTTATTTTTGTTTTTATTATTATAACAATACTATAATAATACAATAATAAAACAACAATAATACAAAAATGAAACAATGATAACTAATACGATAATAACTAATGCAATAATAATGATACAACAATAATAACTATACTACTAACAATAATACAATAATAATAACAAAAAATAATACAATAATAATACTTGCATTCGATGTATCACGTCATTGCGACATTTCAAACGTCTCCATAGAACAACAACTTGGGTTTATATAGCGCCCTTCACGCAGGGCAGCGCCTTGGAGCGCTTATACGGACAGGGTGACCAAAACGTTGTGAAATCTACCCTATAACAACAAATAAAAATACCATCATTTCTTTAAGACTTATTAGATAGACATTGTAATGGTATCATGTCTCTTTGGCCACCCTGTATATTGTATTATTGTATAATATTGTGATATGAAGGGTGCCTTCTAAATGCTCAGCAATAAAAGGCTCCTTTTTAAATCGGGATTGTCATGGGATTTGGAGTTAAAATATTTATGATCCTTGCACAGGACTTACGAAGCAAATATTTTGTTTTCCTTTTATATTCTTTGTTGTATTTCACTTTTCTGCCATACCCATCTCTTCCCCCGTTTCCTGCAGTTGGAGTTTACCCGTACTCCTTAGTAAACACAGAAGTTATTAGAGTAATTTCACCGTGCTGAGCAGTGTGGGTAAACTCTTCCTCCATTACACAAAACTTGCTGTCAATTTTTGCTGTTCGCTGCTGTGTGCTGTAGTCCCAGACTCTGGCAACCTCCGATTAAAATTATCCACTTTTTGAGAGAACAAATCTTTTGAGAGAATGAATTCCCAATTGGGATCCGTATTGGGGGTGTCAGTAATTCCCCATAAAGGGAAGGAATTCATGCCCTGAATTTCCTAATTTCCCGCAAGCAGTTTACAAAGTTTGCAAACGTCCTGGAGAGAAGAGAACGTAATTTTGCTCTGCTTTGTGCGACGAGTCGAATAGTTTATTTGCTGAGCGAGTCGGGCAGTCTTTAAAACTACTGTTTGGAGGTTATTTATACATCTGGTTAGTAGAATTAATTTCCAGTAGAGGTCAGTAGTCTACAGAACTCCTCAATACACAAATATGATCCAAGCATCCTTGTTGCAGCTTTGTTTGCATCTAACTGAAAACTGTTTCAAATCTCCAGATACAAATTGTAAAAAAAAATGAACTTATTTTGGTGGTTTGCCGGTTTTGAATGGAAATGCAGTTCCAATGTAGGAGCTGTGGAGATCCTACAACCAATGTACAGGAGGCAAATATTGTTTGATTAGCCCGGTGTTTGACACGTGCAGAAATCTATTATCCTACTTAAGAGTATGTCAAACAGATTGAGAATTCCATTTATTTTGCCTTTGCCACATAGTGGCCAATGAACCACTGAGCAGTTTGCCACTTCCTCTAATCAACTGCAATCAACAACAACTTGCATTTATAATGCGCCCTTCATGCAGGCCAGCGTCCCAGAGCGCTTGACAATGGCGGAACACGACACCCAGCTGGGAGAGAGGGGGGAGGTGACCGTAGGCTCGTTCGAACAGGAAGGTCTTCAGGCATGACCTGAAAATGAGGAAGGAAGAGGGCAAGGTGGAGAGATAGAGGAAGAGTGTTCCAGAGTTTCGTAGTGGCTGAAAGCACAGCCACCAGTGGTGGAATGGAGGGCACAAGGGACATGCAGAAGGTCGGAGCCAGTCATCAGTTGGGGAGGTGCCAGGGCATGAAGGGATTTGAAAGTGAGTGTGAGGATCTTGAAATCAACAACAAAAAATTGCATTTGTATAGCGCCTTTCACATCCAATACTCCTCTGTCATTTCTACGCCAGTTTTGAGAGTCGAGGGTGGTAGAAAATCCAGCTGGAGAATTGCAAATTGTTTGCTTTAATTAAATCCGATGACTTTTATAGTAGCAATTAGAGGCCAGGAAGCTGGTGCTGTCATGCGTTTAAATGATCGCTAACATGTCTTTTGCCAGCAGATAGTAATTTAGGGCTCTGTTTCTGACTGACTCCAGATCATTTGCAAAGGCTGAGACTTCAATGCGGGCAGCTGATGCCATGGTTTTTGAAAATTACCGTCTACGATATTTACTCTTCAATTGTAGTTCAGAGAAGTCTGTGGCATTCAGGACAATTTGACCAGTATTGTGAAGCAGATGAGNAAAAAAATGCAGGTGTAGCAAATGAATTGTCTGCTGAAAAATGTTCCCTTAATGGTTCTTGGATGATCTGCTAGTACACCGACAATTAAGAGGCTATTTTTCATGCTGTTAAAGGGTCAGTCAGACACTGGTATTTTAATGACTTTTAAAAAAAAATGCTGAGGAGCTGTGCCCTTCCACCCAGCCAATTTGATAGGGAGTGGGACATTTCAATGTAGTTTCCCACTGAATTGTTGTATTAGTAAGATGATGTTCAAAGTGTTTTGAGGCGTCCTCCTGATATGAAAGGCTCGTTTTAAATGTAAGTTTTGCCTTTAGACATTGTCCTTTACACTATATACCGTGAAGTGCTCATGCACTCTCTATGTGGAAGGCGTTACAACCAGTGTAAGGATTTTTATTGATAATACATTGTAGTTGAGATGCTGACATGATCAGAAATTGTTTTTAACAGTTTTCATGTTTGCTAACTGAATTTTATGAATCCCGAGACATTTATTTTAGCAAAGTCCTCTGGCAGTTATGTAAAATACTTGCTTTCTCAAAAAATAAGCTAAAGTCCCACTCCACGCTGAATCAGGATTTTTGGAATTGCTCTATTGAACCTACAGTCGCTTCAGAATGCGACTAATTCATGCCTAATTCATAGTTGCTCACTTGTTTGATAGACCGTGATGCAAAATAACTTTCTGCACATATTAAGTAAGACCAGATGTTTTAAATCTAATAACCTGAGCAATCTTAAATTTTTAACAATTGTTTTGGTTAGAATCTGAGTGGAATTGTGGAGTTGGTTAACAGCCCTTTTACAAAAAAAGGTCACTCAATCCACAACTGTTTGTGGGACGCTGCTGTGCGCAATTGGCTGCCGCGTTTACTCCCACAAAATACACATTCAATCCACTTTATAATATATTCTGTGATGCGCTTTGAGACGTCTCAACAACATAATCAGGTGCTATATCAAATGCAAGTAGATTATTCTCCTAGATTTGGCTTCTGGTAATAATAAAATTACAGTATATCAGAGTACACTCCGTGAAGAATGTGTACTATATCCTGCAAAACATCCCTCAGGAATAAATTTTGTTTCGAAATCCAGTTGCTTCAAGCAATAAAGCAACTTGGTTAGTTGCTTTGAACAGTGTCATTGTGTTTAACCTAAAGTGTGATGGAGAGAACATGCCTGAACACGCTGTAAAAGAAATGGCTCGTAGCATCTGCAAAACAGCTGATTAATTTTGGCGTCTTCCTGTGTCTTGTACCCCTGTAGTTTCAGCAGCTCTTTCTAATTTTGTGTTTACTTTTCATGTGATCACAGATGGAAGTGGAGGAGGGGAAGGGAGGAACTGGCCTCCGACAATATTACTTATCGAAGATTGAAGAATTGCAAGTGAGTTACAGAACCAAGCTTAAGGAGATTTAGTGTGGGGTTTAAAATTAATTTGAACTCTTCAACATAGGGTTGTTGATACCATAAATAGTGAAGTGCTTCATGTCCCCAAGTACAGCACTAAGTAATATAACTTCTTATTAGGTGTAGATTAAAATCCCTTTGACTCAAAAAATGTGCTTTCATCTCAGGAGAACATCTCTCACTGTTTCTTTCTTCCTTTACTGTGGCATTTTCCCCCAATACCAGCTACCCTGTAGCCTCTTTAGATTGACCTAAATAATTTAATGGAGGAAACATCATAGCTGACAGGCTTTTTCATTAATATGGGCCAGGTCCCAGAGGTGGGAAGTCATTGTGCTAACCCATTGTTGCCATCTTTCATCTCTCCCTGTGTCTTTCTCTCCTATCCCTACCCCCGCCTCTCCTTTTCCTAGACCTTTTGTAAAAGGTTTTCTGAGCGATTGCCTTTGCACCTTGTAAGAGATCTACAGAAGCAAGAGTCTAATGCAGAATATTACCTTCCATATGTACAGACTTCCCCAGTACAGTATTACTTGGTAGATCAATCTTTCGCTTATGGTCTGCTCACAAATTCGTTGCTTGTTAAATCATAGCGTGAATGTAGAATCTCTATTTACTGTGACGTGACACCTTGCAAATAGTTGAATGTGAGAAACTGCTGTGTTTCAGCAATTATTCAGCACAAATGACGGGGACACTGCTGTGCCAAATTGGCAGCGTCATTTCGCCCACAAATATACAATCAATTCACATATATTCTGCAAAGCACTTTGAGATGTCTAGAAGAAGTGAAAAGCGCTATATCAAATGCAAGGAATATTATGTTATTATAATAGAGAACATATTAGTATTGCTAATTAGTCAAGTTAGTCTTGACCTTGCGTAATACTTTTTGTTTTTCAAAAAAAAAGCAAAGTAAAACCTTTGGTTAAATTTTATTAACCCAAATTTTATTTGCTCAGTAAAATAGAGCAGCTTCCTATAGTAATAAATGTGCCTTCATAATGGTTATATTTATGTTAACTGACTAGGCAGTCCTCATTTGCTGATCTGAATCTATAAACTTTTAACAAAGCTTGATTGAGTGACTTTTTGAAATGAATTGCTAACTTATTGAATCTAATATTTTTTATTCCCCTTCTTTCTCAAAGCTTACTGTTAACGACAAGAGTCAAAATCTTCGCCGTCTACAGGCTCAACGAAATGAACTCAACGCCAAAGGTAACTCAGACATGTACATTATACTGTGTGATGCCACTTTGTTTCATTCAGATTGGTTTCAATCACAAAGTGCACTGTCCCTTCACTTTACAGGATATCCTGTGAAGCACTTTGAGACGATGTGATGAGGCGCTATATCAAATGCAAGGGTTATTATTATCCTCCAATTTATCTGCACCCAGTGTCTTGTAGTGTTCTGTACCATCTGTTTCTGTATAAAGATACATTAGGGACATCAACTGTTTGTGTGTGTGAGAGAATGATGTGAATGGTAAGCTTATTAACATGTTACGTCTTCATATTCGCTTAAACACAAATGATAAAGTCTAGTCTTATCAAGTTTAATCTTTGTTGGGTGACGAGGTCAATAAAGACACTCCATTAGAATTCTAATGCATGAAACATAACCCCAGATACTAAGTTCCATGTGCAGTGAGAGTAGGTGTTGTTTGCAAGTCTGATCCTGTGCTTGTCTCTGTTGTACTTTCAACCCTAAGGATTTCCACACACTGTAGGATTTTGTAGGATTTCTATGTTGACCTGTTGGGCCTTTCGTGAGGATATTTCCCCCCCATTTGAAAAATGACTGCGCTGAATCTTCAGATCGGGATTTTTGTTTACTGCATACATTTTAATTTCTTGTCTCATATTCAGTGTATTGATGAATTTTGAGTGCAACCTATGAGTTCATGTGGCTGCTAATATGACACAGCTTCTCGTCTAATAAAATTTGGAATCGCTGAGTTCTCTTCCCCCTCCTCTTCAATAACATCCTTCTGTTAATTATTTGTGACATCAAACATGAAAGAGCAGTCTGAGGATTTGACTAAATTAGTCTCCTAGATGTTTCGTGGTCTCATAGATGTATGGTTTGAGCTCATTGATCTGTCAAAGATTGTTTGCCATAAAATTGGGCGCATTCCATTTCTATAATTAATCGACCAATAAACTACAAAGAAAAGATATTGTTTCATAAAGAGACAATTTAATGAATAAACCTAGGTTTTTGAAGGAGCAATTTTGAAAAGCGAAAACAAAATGAGTGAAGAAAATTACATTGAGGGAGTTCATTTCATCTCTAAACTAAGTAAAACTATGTGAACAAAGCTCCAGCAGGGTTTTCAAACAAAGTGTATTTTCATTGTAATCTTTTGCCATATGCAAGGCTGTTCAACTACCAGTATCCTGGCTGATGTTGACTATTCACCTTCTGCATCACAGCCATTCTACTGAAAGATTGCATTTTGCATTTATAATAATACAGTGATCTTTGAATTTGACACAGTGCCTGATCACATCTTCAAGATGTCTCAAAGCTTCACAGAATAGACTGTAAAGTAACTGTATATTTTGTGGGTGAAACTCGGCAGTCAAATACGTACAGCAGTGTCCCAACAAACATTCGTGGATTTATTTACCCACGGAATTATTGCCCAGAGAAAGCATTTCATCGCTTTCTGTCGGTAATAATCCCTCCAAAAAATAATAATCATGTAGTCACTCAATCCATGACTGATTGTGGGCCACTGCTGTGCGCAATTGGCTGCTGCTTTTTGCCCACAAAATACAAAGTCAATCCATTTTACAATATATTCTGTGAAACAATTTGAGACATCTCAATGACGTGATAAGGCACTGTGTCAAATGCCAGGATTATTATAATATTATTCTTTGGTATGGTATCGCTCTAAAGACTCATTGAGTTTAACCTACAGTGGGGGTTTGGAAAAATGACGCAATTTATTGCATGATTTTAATTATTTTTTGACAGTGCGCATGTTACGAGAGGAACTGCAACTTCTTCAGGAGCAGGGATCCTACGTAGGAGAGGTGGTCAGAGCGATGGACAAAAAGAAAGTCCTCGTCAAGGTAACATCTGATGCTTCTGTACGAATGAGGAATTCAGAAGAATATTGTAAAGGTTTCTATTATACTACATTTAATTCTAATTAAATGAGCAATCCTATCGCATAAAAACATCCAAAATGTTTTGCCGAACAGCAACAAATTACACTTGTCTAGCGCCTTTCACGTTGGAAAGGTATCCCAGGGCGCTGGGCAGTCGGGGTTTTTTGGACCTGAGTTGAGGGCAGGGTGGAGGGCAATGGGGATGGGAGGGTGGAGCAACCGAATCGATGGAGTAGATGTCTTGGTTGCTGTGGGTGTATAAATTCTGCTTGCATCCACGGACATGTCGATCCAGGATGATATCTTTTCTGTAAATGAGACCTTGAGTTTAAATGTCATTGATTGTGATATCTAGCTTTTATGCTATAAGTAGTATATTTAATGGTAGCCACAGTGTTTAATGTTCAAATACCAGCAGTTTTCACAATAATCACTTCAAACCACATGTGTCTTACCAGTTGAGCGATAGCGCTGGTTAAGGTTGAACCATTTATTCCATACTGATTGCACATTGAGGTCAATTCGCCAATCTGCCTGACCACATTGCCCACGGTTTCCACTGGCAGTGTCTGAAGCAGTGACCAGCAACGACTATTCTAAACCAGTCTTCCTGTCGTGCCTCTTTTTGGTCCTTTACGTTCATTGTGGTTGAGGAGGGATGAGTGTGTGCTGGGGAGTAGAACAGAGTGTCCTTGGCACCGATGCAAATAATGACTCCTCAGTGAATTCTCTAGTGTGTCGAGAAGAATTGGTTAATTTGGTGGATTACCCCAGTGGCTGCTTCTCCAGGAACCTGGAATAAAGACAGGAACACAATCTAAAGTGTTAACTCAAATTTGATATGGTGGGGGGCAGTTAATACTGATGTTGAAACAAACAATTAGGTCTGGGTTTCTGTCCTTGCTATCGGCGATCTGCTTTCTCATCGCACCTGCTTTGTATACAGCATTTCAGGTCCTCTTTTTGTTTTTGGTGCTGCTTGTTTATAGTGTACACTGTAGTGGGGATATATTAAAGATCTTAGCTGAGGAAACGACTTAAAGGGAAGTGGTACCACCAGCATCAATGCACAAGCATATTTTCTACCTCATTCAAAGGCTCTCAATAATTCTGGTTGTATGTTGGGAGTATTTGCATCTAGTGGTCGAATGATTCTCTTTCTCTTCCCCACTTCACTCCTCCCACCTTCCCTCCATCGTCTTTCATTTATCCTAATAAAATGCACAATTTTGTAAAATTAAATTACTAAGAAAGTCTTGTATAACTTTTCTCTCTCCACACCCCCGTGTTTTTTATAGGTTCACCCAGAAGGAAAATTTGTTGTGGATGTTGATAAGAACATTGATATTAATGATGTGAGTATTATATCTATTATACAAATTTTAAAAAAAATAGAGCATGAGGGGTTTGTCAGGAATATCCGCGCCTCATCCTAGATGTCACAATAAACTACTTGTGCTGTGAGGAATGTGATTTGTCTGTGAGTCAGTATTTCATTGTGGTCCTTTTAAACTTGGTTTGTGTTTCGTTGTGAGGATCAAGAGGAATTCAGTGTGATTGAGGCCCATAAGCCCAAGTATTAATTCATGTGAATCTGTTATTAGCAGGATGGATCAAGTACTAGAACACATCTCAGGACATGTGGAACCAATTACAATTATTCAGCATAATTCATGTCGGGAGGACATCTCGAAACACTTCACATAGCTAATTGGGAGGGGAGGGGGGTAGGGAAGTGGCCAAAAGCTAGTCTGGAAAAATAATAATCCTTGCATTTAATATAACGCCTTATCATGTCTTTGAGGCGTCACAAAGCTGGGTCTTAAGGTAGGAAAGTTTTGTTTATGGCCTCTTGTTTGCAGGCATAAACAGCTGAAACAAATGAAGACACCTTATCTGTGGGTTATGAGATGTTCTATGGAATCACTAGTTGACATCCTATTTCCAGTTTGGGTGAGGCATCTGAAGGATTTCACTGATTGAGGTGGATTTAATATTCTTGAGTTTGGCTTGGAAATTGAGAGGATTCATAAAGCTTTGTCACCTGGAGTTTTTGAAACGTGGTTGGGAAATTGAGTCAAATCGAGTCTAGGATAAGTTAGCACATACACATGGTTTGTGGAGGGGATGGGTGTTAGTAGCAGGCTGCATCAAATACTAGATTGCCTCTTTTTCTTGGGGACGCAGTCAGGAACTTTACAGATTGATTCTCTTGGCCCTCTATCTAACAGTTTAATTTTTGTATACAAAGGTAACTCCAAACTGTCGTGTAGCTTTACGAAACGACAGCTACACTCTTCACAAAATCCTACCCAATAAAGTGGACCCTCTGGTATCTCTCATGATGGTTGAAAAGGTTCCAGATTCCACCTATGAAATGATCGGAGGTTTGGACAAACAAATCAAAGAGATCAAAGAGGTTATCGAATTACCTGTGAAGCATCCTGAACTGTTTGAAGCCCTCGGCATTGCTCAACCTAAGGTAATATATATTTAATCTTTTGTAATATTTCTTCAAAGGTGTTGGTGAATTGCTGTACTGGGTGTGGGTTCACTCCCCGCGCTAATGACTCCTTGTCTAGGCTGCCACCAAAGTACAGTGTTGAGGGGGATGCTGCATTGTCAGTGGTGCTGTCCTTTGATTGAGAAGTTAAACCAAGATCTTGTCTGCCTGTTTCGGGCATTAAGCTATTAAAAATGCAGTGGAACTATTTGAAAAAGGACGTTTCTCCTAGTGTCCTGACCAATGATCCCCAGATTTATATTATTAAAAAAAGCCAGTGATTCACTTTCTGGCTATTTGTGGGACATTGTCATGTGCAAATTGGCTGCCACATTGCCCCACAAATAATAATAATCCTTGCATTTGATATAGTGCCTTATCACGTCTTCGAGATGTCTCCAAGTGCTTCACAGGATATACTGTAAAGTGAATTGACTATGTTTTGTGAGCGAAATACACAGTTGATGCACTTTACCAAAAACTCCCAATTACTTTTGAGATGTTTCACTATGTCAAATGTAAGGATTTCTTAAGAAATTATAGAGAATTTACGTAGAGCACAGAAGAGGTAATTTGGCCCATTGTTCAAGTACTAGATTCTTAGCCCCACTTCCTCTGACTACCCTCCCCCCCTCACTGGAATCTGCTGGAATGTGATGTGCTTCCCCCATAAATGCTTCAGTATTATCTTTCCTCAAATGTTTCCCTTTTTAATGTGGTTAGATGTAAAGGAATTTGATACTTGAACATAGGGACCTACAGAAGACTTAATTGGAAGCTATGCTGTAGGGCCTTCTTACCTTTGTGTATTCATGGAAGCAATAAACTCCAAATCAAAGTGTGTGTCTGTTTTTTTCAAGTTAAAATTCACTGCTGTGTGCTGGCTGGCCTCCCAGTTGGGCTGGCCATTTTCTGCTGCTTTCAAGGTTTGGCTTTCAGAGATGTGCTGTTTGGCATTGGGCCTCGTGACTCTTGGCTTATTGCTCTCAGGGTACCTACCGCTCTGAACTGGGACAGCCATGAAATGTCATGTTTTCGTCCCAGTCTCAGAAAATGGTGGCCTTTGTAATTCCTTTTTTTAACTGAAAAACATGTGTTTTGGAAAATGTGATGGAAGGGTTTGTTTTTTTGATGTTGTATGCCAATGCATGATGACGTGGCTTACCCGAAACTGTTCCTGACGATTAAATCTTCTGCCTTGTCCCCCCCTTCCCTTTCTGTCCCAAGTCTACCCTAAAAACCTATCTCTTTGAATGTGCCTCTGGCCACCTTTCCGACCCTCTCCCTTGCTCGGTGTCTAACCTTTCTTATGAAGCGCACTGAGACGTTGTCTTATGTGAAGGGTGCTGTATGAATGCTAGTTGTTCTTTAGTCTGAAGGTCATTTTGCTGAGGCATTCATTCTCTCCCATATTGGAACTTTGTCAAGATTGAGTTAGCAGCAAGATTGCAATCTCTCTTGCGCTAACTTAACTGCATGTGGTTTTAATTCTTCACAAACAAATGTGATTTGGGGTTTGGACTTTTCACCAAATTAAGCAGTTTTTTTTTCCCCTGGGTTCTTTGAACCAACAAGACAGCTTCATTAATCAGAATTTAGTCATGCCAAAGCTACTTTGATATTGTCCAAATTCCTAATGAATACAGATTCTTTAATCACACTTGATCTCTGATTTCAGACAGAAAGGGTCACCTGGACCAGTTGCTTTGAGCCAAGCCTTGTCCTTTCCCTGACGCATCCCCAAATAACATGTTCAGTCTAAGGAGAATAATGCTAAATGGAGCCTTTCTGTAAAGCTGACTCTTTGTGTGTCTGTTTCATAGAATAATATTTGACAGCAAATAATAATTTCCAGCATTTAATTTCAGCTTTGCAGTGGGTTGTTTACAACAAAAAAACAAAATTATATTTATAGAGCGCCTTTCATGTCGGGAGGACGTCCCAAGACGCTGAACAGTCAGGTGTCGGGGCCTGAGCATGGGGGAGGGGTGGTGTAGGGGTGAGGGAAGGCAGAGAGGTGGGAGGGCGGCCAAAAGCATGATTGAAGAGAAGGGTCTTGAGACCGACCTTGAAGGAGGCAAGGGAGGAAGCGAGGCAAAGGGACGTGGGATGGAGTTCCAGAGTGTGGGGCAGAGAGGCTGAAAGCCCGGCTACTGATGGTCGGGCGGGAGACATGGAGCAGGCTGGAGCCCGCTGAACGGAGGGAGCGGGCAGAGGCCGAGGATCTTGAACTTGATCCTATGAGGGATGGGGAGCCAGTGGAGTCGGGCGAGGGTGGGAGTGATGGGGTCACGGAGCCTGGTGCGCGAGAGTACACGAGCTGCAGTTTTGGATGATCGGCAGCTTGTGAAGGGAAGAGTTGGGAAGGCCGATGAGGAGGGAGTTCCCGTAATCGAGCCTTGATGTGACAATCGAGGCTTAAAAAGTTTACATAACTTTTTCTAGTTTTTCTGTTTTTTCTCTCCCCCATTGTCATGTGCATCTCTGTTGGTATAATAATCTGCATTTGATATCAACAACAACAAAATTACATTATACAGCACTTTTCACATCAGGAGGACGTCCCAAAGCGCTGGACAATCGGGTTTTGTGACCCAAGCTGGGGGTCCGGATCAGGGAGAGTGGAGGGCAGAGGGGGGAAGGAGTTTGTTCAAAGGTATGGTCGAAGAGGAGGGTCTTGAGGCGGGTCTTGAAGGAGGCAAGGGAGAGGGCGAGGCGGTGGGACTGCGGAATGGAGTTCCAGAGAGTGGGGGCAGAGTGGCTGAAGGCCCACCCGCCAATGGTGGAGTGGGTGAGGCAGAGGATGTGAAGCAGGCCGGAGCCTGCTGAACGGAAAGATTTCTTAAGGGGGTTTAGGAGGTCTAAGCGGTAGGGGGTACCAAGACCGTAGAACGCCTTATCACATCCTCGAGACATCTCAAAGGGCTTCACAGAATATACTGTAAAGTGTAGTGACTATATATTTTGTATTCAGCGACAGTGCACCGAGACGCTGCCCCACCTGAAGGAAGCCCATATAACAAATTGTTGTTGTTGGTATCCAGCCTCCTCTTCGGATGGTGGATCCACATATACAAGCAAATTCCGTGCAGGCTGACTTGAACTAACAATCTCCTGGTCTGTCAGCCATAGTTTTTCCAACCACCCCCCCCCCCCCACTGCACTATCAGATCTGCCCTTTTATCTTCTAATCTTGTTTTTTGGGGGATTGAATTCTGTCCCTTCCCTCCTTCCTCTGTCCTTCAAGGAAACATCATTATTATATTTAATTATCATATCTAGACCCAATTCTGTCTACTGGTGAGTGATGAGAAGTCTCATCTTAATCTTCTCTCCCTAGCTCAAGACACTCGCACCAAATTATGTAGCACTGTTACTGCTGCCAACAGCGATCAGCTACCTTGGCACAGCCCAGGGAACGAATCTGCTATGAAAAGTTCTGTTCACTCCAAGCAGATGCTTTACCAACTAAGTCGTCAAAAGGACCCCATCTAGTGTTGAATTCAGTTTTGTATTCCGAGTGGCTTTTCTGAACATTCTTTAGGTCTCAAGTTCTCATTTTACTTGTGCTGAAAAGTAATTGGAGCACTCTCATCATACCCTTCGAACCCGGAAGAGAGACTCTCTCGTTGAAACAACAACTTCTTGGATTTATATAGCGCCCTCCACACTGGATGGCATCTCAGAGCGCTTTACAGTAATGGATCTCGGGACCAAGTCAGGGGGAGGTGGGGGGAAGGTAACCAAAGGCGCGGTTGAAAAGAAAGGTCTTCAGCAGAGACCTGAAAATGGGAAGGGAGGGAGTGAAACGAAGGAAGAGAGGAAGGCAGTTCCAGAGCCCTCGAGGCATAGTGACTGAAGGCACAGCCGCCGAGGGTGGAGTGGAGGACTTGGGGGATGAGGAGGAAGCCAGACCCTCATGAAACATCAGCTTGACGAATGGCACACTCGCCTGTGGGTCAGGACTTTGCAAAATTGGGAGGAGGTGCAGTCACAAGATTGGTTTAGACGAAGAAGGTCCTTCAGCCCATTTGATCTCATCCTTCACTCACAATATGAAGCTCGTATTTTTTTTAAATGTATCCAATGTCCTGGCCTCAACCACATATCTTGGCAACCTGTTCCAGTCATTATTTACCCCCTTTCTGATGTCTGTCTTGAATCTGTTTTCGCAAATCTAAACCTAATGTCCTCTTGGTGCAAACCTTGGCATTTCGCCCACAAAATATAGTCAATTCACTTTACACTATATCCTGTGAAGCCCTTTGAGAGCGCTATATCAAATGCAAAGATTATTATTATTATCCTGAAGTATTGTTCTGGGTTGACTTTTTCAATCCTATTTGAAATCGTAAATTTGTGAAGATCCAATTAATTAATCTGGTAGATTGTTACGCAGGATATCTGTGTTGAGCAAAGCTTACATCTTGCAATTAATTACCATGGTTGATTGAAGGGTTTGGTGAGAAGGTTGTGTTTACAGACCTCTTATACTGAACACTATTGATTTTTTTGTGTTTATTGTGTGTCATCACTGCAGGGTGTGCTGCTATACGGACCTCCAGGAACAGGCAAGACACTGCTAGCCAGAGCTGTGGCCCACCACACAGACTGTACTTTCATCCGAGTATCTGGCTCCGAGCTTGTGCAGAAATTCATTGGCGAGGGTACGTGCTGAAGCCATCTGCTCTCGGTTATATTATATGTCTGATTGGAAAATTAAGATCATCAGAAAAGTCTGTGTTAAGATAATTTCCCTGGTGGTTTTTTCGGAGATGGTGCAAGTTAATTTAAGTTATTCTGTCAAAACGGTGGGCATCTGCAAAGGTTGCTGAAGTCAGAAGAGTAGAAACCTGACACCATCAGTTCAGTTGTAGCAAACGGTAACCTATTAAAGGATTTCTGAGAAACAAGATGTAATCTTTTGAACCTATGAGTAAAAATAATTATAACTATCCTTGCATTTGATACAGCGCCTTTCAAGTCGGGAGGACATCCAAAAACGCTTCCCAGGATTTACTGTGAAGTGTAGTGACTCTGTGTTTCGTGGACAAATGCAGCAACAAATTTACTCACAGGAATATCCGACAAACAGCCATACAATATCCACTGCACACCTCAGTTGGATGCAGTCCACTTGTTCAAGAAGATGCAATAGTTTGGAATAGAAATTCTGCTCAGTGGTGCCTTTGGTGACTATATATAATGGGGGAAGTTCCATTACTAGCTGTAGTTGCCTTTGGTGTGTGCTAAAGCCAACTAATCTCAGTTCTGTGATGCTGCTTAAAAATAAGATCATGAGAAATGTTAACAAGTTAATGATTTCGGGTCATTTTTTGTTTAAAAAAAAGTGCATTTCCTTGTACAACAACGACTTGTACTTATATAGCGCCCTCCATGCAGCATAGTGTCTCAGAGAGCTTAACATTTTTTGCCCCAATGTCTTTCATACTCTTTTGCTGCGATGCAGGTGCACGTATGGTGCGGGAGCTATTTGTAATGGCGAGAGAGCATGCCCCATCCATCATCTTCATGGATGAAATCGATTCTATTGGGTCCTCACGATTAGAGGGCGGCTCTGGGGGAGATAGCGAAGTGCAACGCACAATGTTGGAGCTTCTCAACCAGCTCGATGGGTTTGAAGCCACTAAGAATATTAAAGTACGTCTCTGAGTTTATAATAAACCTTGCATTTGATACAGCACCTTATCATGTCTTCGAGACATCTCAAAGAGCTTCACAGAATATACTGTCAAGCGAATCAACTGTATTTTGTGGACAAACGCTTAGGTTGTAAGTGAATTGTAAAAACTTCTATTGGTTTAGTTATTGTTGATAGGACCTCATTAAAAACAGCATGCGCTGTACAAAATACTTTTTTTAAATTGGGGCTGAAGGTGGTGAAGCATTTCTTTGATCCTAAAATGTTAGTGTGTAGGCATTATTCCTGGGATAGGACAGCCTTCTGATTTATTGTTAGTATTGCACTTTGCTGGATGGACTGAACAGAAGATTTGGGGTGTGAAGAAGACTTGATGGGGATATAGACATGTCTGGCCAGGAGAGAGGAATTGTTTGCATGACTTGTGAATGTAAGTAACTATATCTGAGTAAATGCTTAAAAAAATCAAATATTCAGATTCAGCAGCCTTTCTGACAGTAATAATAATCGAGACATCTCAAAGCGCTTCACAGAATATACTATAAAGTGAATTGACTGTATATTTTATGGACAAATTAAATATGTTGGTTCAGTTTTTTTCACCTCTTCATGCTTGCTGCCTCAGGTGATCATGGCCACAAACAGGATCGACATCCTGGATCCTGCGTTGCTGCGCCCAGGCCGAATTGACAGGAAGATCGAGTTTCCTCCTCCGAATGAAGAGGTGAGCTTGAGGCCATTCAAAATGGTATTGGCGCGACACATAGTGCGTGTGAGGGATGGGAAATTATTACCAGCAGTGTATTTCAGACTGGAAGGATGTCTGTCCTTTTCTGTGTATTGGTGTAATGCTTGCCTTTAAATCACCCATTGGGGCTTGTGATGAAGGACTGAACCTTCAGTGCTTTTGGTCAATAGGGTGCAGAGGAGAGAGGAGTTTTAATAAACTCAGCGAAATGGAAGTTTGGGATCCATATATGGATCCAAATAAGCTGCACATATATTGCAAAATAATTTTGCTGGAATCCCAAAAAATTCTGGATAATCAAGAATCCCAAACCGAAGCAATCCATCCAGAGAGCTTTGCCGACTCGGGATTCAAGATTCGCGAGCCGCAGGTTTGGTAAATTGATAGATGCAAAGCAGTCCAGATTGTGAAAGTGCCAAATTGGACCAAGGAGAGCATTTTTTAGAAACGCTGAACATCATTTCTATCCGTATTGTTGAGCGGTAGGGCTTGTTAAGAGAGCTGTCGGGCTTGTTGACAATTAAATTCTTCAATACAGACTTGGTTTTCCACGGTGTTGGTGCTTTTTTTTTTCTGCACCAGAGGTTGGGGATTTTAATCCACAGTGACTGGTGAAACGTGGTTCAGTTGATAGATCAGAGCATTTTCCTGTGGATCTAAGCATTCCCAGACACACCATCCACATCTCAGGAGGTGACTGCGGATCCAGATTTAAGGAGACCTCACTGAAAATGTGTTGACTTGCTTGCCTTCTTCCTCCCTCCCCTCCCATGCAGGCTCGTCTCGACATTCTGAAGATTCATTCCCGCAAGATGAATCTGACTCGCGGCATCAATCTGCGTAAAATCGCTGAGCTGATGCCAGGGGCGTCAGGTGCTGAGGTTAAGGTGAGACTGTCAGCCTCATCTTATTTTAGCTCTGCAAAGGGTAACCATACCTGACCCATCAAGCAAACCATCTCTGGCCAAGGGAAATGTTATGCAGATGCATGGTTTGTTCTGTATTTCAGCAGTGAATTAATTCTAGGCATTAACGATGAGTGCAGTAAATGCTGTGAGCGCATTTATTAACATGACTAATTGTGATGAAGGCAATTTGGGTAATTGCATTTTGCACTTGGAAGGTAGTTTGATTAATTCAAATCCTGTTTGCTTACATGAAAAGCCTATTTCTACTTAAAGCTGATGATAAAACTCTGATGCAGCTCAGTTTGACACTCTTGTGTAGTGGAGATACTTCTATCCCAGTGTGCGCATCTTGGCTGCCGCCTCCGACCCGAGCTGGCCCTCCCTCAAAATGCCCCCCTCCCTGCAACTCCCGCTCTGTCCTGCTCTCCCTCCGCCCTCCCCGGCTCCTATCTCTGCTTGACCCCCCCACTGCCTCCCTCTGCCCAGCCTGGGAATCCTCCGCCAGGCGCATCGCAGCACTCGGCACTGTGGCAGCCACACCGACTGCCCCATTCCCCACTACCGCCACAAGCCACCCCAGACCCTGACCCCGGGGGCTAACCTCTCCTCCCTCATCTGCATCCCCTCCCTCTCAACCATTCCACTACCCCCTCCCATCCCACACATCCCCCTGCCAACTGTCCACTCCTCATTGGCCTTCAAAATGTCCTCCATCTCCAACAAGACTTGGCCATCAATGATTTGTCTCATCCTCGATGAGAACGATGATATTATGGCACTCACAGAAACCTGGATCACCCCAGGTGACACCTTCCCCCTCACTGAGGCCACGCCACCCGGCTACACCTACCAACATGCCCCACGCCCCAACCATTGTAGCGGTGGTGTGGCCCTTATATCCAGGGTGTCACTTGTCCTATCCCCCTTCTCCACTGGCTCGTTCCCTTCTTTCGAACCCTCTGCCATCCCTCCCATCTCTCTGAAAATTCTTCTACTTTACCGCCCCCCCAAAATCCACTGCCTCCAAACCTACCACCATCTTCTACCGCCCGTGGAAGAAGATCGCCCCGCAATCCCTCTCCACTGCCCTGGAGTCCTCTGATCTCCTTCCCCTCTGGCCCACCTCTCGCAACAACCCACTCGCTGCACTCACTCTTCTCCACCCTCTCCACCACACTCGACGCCTTTGCCCCCCTCACCTCCCGAACTGCCTCCTATTCCTGATCCTCACCTTGGTTCACCAGCCACCTCCGCTTGCTTAAGGGCCAGGTGCGGGCTGCCGAACGCACTTGGCTCAAATCCGGCCTAACGGTCCACCACTACATCTGGCTGGACTCATCAAGAACTACCGCTGCGCTCTCGCCTCAGCCAAATCAGCCTTCTATTCCAGGTTAATACTGGAGGCGAAAGGCAACCCCATGCTTCTGTTCTCCACCACTAACCGGCTCCTCCGCCCTCCCTGACATGCCTCGCAGATACTTTCCTCTGACTCTCACTGCTAGAAAATGCTTGATTTCCTCAAGTCCAAAATTGAGGGAATCCGCTCAGCTGCCACTGCCCTCCCAACTTCCAACCCCTCCTACCCCCACTCCACACAATTACCCATCCCTTCTTCCACATCTTTGAACCTGACACCCCCTCCTCTGTCTTCAACACGGTAACCTCCATGAAGTCCACCACCTGCTCCCTCGACCCCATCCCTACCCCGCTCCTTAAATCCCAGCTCCACCTTCTTGCCCCACTACTCGCCGACATCATTAACCTCTCCCTGTCATCTGGCACTGTTCTTTCCCCCCTCAAAACAGCCACTATCACCCCCACCTTGAAGAAACCTTCCCTTGACCCGTCACAGCTATCTAGCTACCGGCCCATCTCAAATCTCCCCTTCCTATCCAAGATCCTTGAGAGAGCCGATGCCTCCCAGCTTCGCTCTTTCCTTTCACTCCCTCCATGAACCCCTCCAATTGGGTTTCTGTGCTGCCCACAGCACGGAAACTGCTCTGGTCAAGGTCACAAACAACATCCTGACCATGTGTGACCAGGGCTCCCTCTGCTTCCTCGTCCTCCTTGATCTCTCTGCCACCTTTGACACCGTGGACCACTCAATCCTCCTCCACTGCCTCTCCTCCCCACCTCAGCCTTGAAGATTCCGTCTATGACTGGTTCAGGTCCTACCTTTCACACCGCCTCCACTTCGTCGCGGCAAACGGCTTCTTCTCCACCCCCAGCCGTGTTCCTCAGGGCTCTGCCCTCGGTCCCCTCCTCTTCATCTTCTATATGCTTCCCCTTGGTGATGTCATCCGCAGACATGTGATAAATTTCCACGTGTATGCGGATGACACCCAACTCTACCTCTCTGCCTCCATCCTGAACTCCAGGACTACTGGCGTCCTGACCGACTGCCTATCCGACATCAAGTCCTGGACGAGGGCCAGCTTTCTCCACCTCAACGTCAACAAGACCGAGGCCCTCCTGATTGGTTCACGCCAGCGTCTCCGCACCTCAAGCGCTGGCAGCATTAGCCTTCACAGCTGCACACTCAACCTCACTAAGCCAGTCAGGAACCTGGGTGTCTTGTTTGACCCTGAACTGTCCTTTCTCCCCCACATCCGCTCTTTGCTACTGCCTACCACCACCTCCGCAACATTGCCAGACTCCGCCACTGCCTCACGCACCAGGCTCCGCGACCCCATCACTCCCATCCTCGCCCGACTCCACTGGCTCCCCATCCCCTAGAGGATCCAGTTCAAGATCCTCGTCCTCACCTTTAAGACCATCCATGGCCTTGCCCCCTCCTACCTCTCTGACCTGCTGACTCCCTACCAACCTGCCCGCTCCCTCTGTTCAGCGGGTTCCGGCCTGCTCCATGTCTCCCGCCCCGGTGGCCGGGCTTTCAGCCTCTCTGCCCCTATACTCTGGAACTCCATCCCTCTGTCCATTCGCCTCACTTCCTCCCTTGCCTCCTTCAAGGCCGGTCTCAAGACCCTTCTCTTCGACCGTGCCTTTAGTCTCCCTCCCACCTCTCTGCCTTCACCTAATTGTTCAGCGCTTTGATACGTCCTCCTGATGTGAAGGGCACTCTATAAATGTAATTTTGTTGTTGTTGTTGATGGCCAAGTAACTGTAGAGTTGATGTCTGTTTTAACCAGGACCCTCTTATTGATGTGATTTTTATCTTTCTGCGAAGGGAGTGTGCACAGAAGCTGGAATGTATGCCCTGAGAGAAAGGAGAGTTCACGTTACGCAAGAAGACTTTGAAATGGCGGTAGCTAAGGTAAGATTGTAGACATTTAATAATAATAATTATTATTATAAGCTGTTTTATCTTGTACTGAACAGTAGAACCAGAAGACATGGCCTGTGATTGGGAGGTAAAATAATAATAATAATAATCCTTGCATTTGATATAGTGCTTTTCACGTCTTCTAGACCTCTCAAAGCGCTTCACAGAATATCCTCTAAAGTGAATTGACTGTACATTTGTGGGCGAAACGCAGCAGCCAATTGCGCACAGCAGTGTCCCACAAACAGTCGTGGATTGAAAATGACCAATTTATAATTGTTTGGTTTTGGAGGGATTATTATTAGGCTCTGTGTGGAGTAAGGAAACTTGCCCAAGGTTTCGCCCTCTGCCTGGAATTGAACCCAGGTGATTCGTTTGCAAGGCGAGTGCTCTAACCACTGAGCTACAGGACTCCAAATTCAGAACAAATCTGCGGAAACACTACTTCAGTGAGTGAAGATTAAATTTATGGAACAAGCTCCCTAGGGAGACAGTGGAAGCAGAAAATGTCATTTGTCTCAAGAACAAATTAGATGGATTTCTGCTAGAAAACAATATCTGGGGATACAGTGTATAGTTTAGGACACAACATGTCAAGCGACTGCCAGGATGGTGGAAGGCGAATTAGATGGACCTTGGCCTTCTTTCACCAGCAAATTCTTATGTTCTTAAAATCTTAGCTTATACATTTGGACTGATCGGGCCCAATAATCTAGTTCTTTGTGATACAAGTTTTAATCCTGAAATAAGAGTATTTGAATTTTTTGCACCAAGGACAGAAGAAATTTCATCCAGGTATCCTGTTTAGCATCAGTGGATGCTTCTCGTTTTGAATCCGGCAGTCAGGGGTTATCTTGCGATGTGTGTCTTTGTTGGTGGCTTTCAGAAGAACGTGTTTGGATTTATAAACCCATCCTCGGAATGCTAAGGGTTTAAGCTTTGAGCTTGCACGAACCTTCTCTGTTACGATTTACAATTGTGGGTGGGGGTAGGCTTGCCAACCAACACCTCACCAGCAAATTCCTTTCTTCCATTACAGGTTATGCAGAAGGACAGCGAAAAGAATATGTCCATCAAGAAGCTTTGGAAGTAAATGCATGTAGTACAGTGCAGCTGCTATCAAGTGAGATAACGAATGCTGCGTTGCTAGGGAGATTTTGTCAGGAAACGTCAAGCCATTGTAAGCTTTCCCATCACTACTACATGTTGGTGAAACTCTAAACCGTTCGGCTTTTGAACTGTACCAGTAATATAACGTAGACGCATTTACTTAGCAATACGGTTTTGCAAAGAACGGATTAAATGTGATATTTTCCATCATAGCTTGGTATCAACCAATACTCGTCTTTTCTCTGTTTTTACCCCTCCTCCCCCCCCCAAAAAAAAAAAGTTGAATAAGCACAAGAGACGCCTGCTTTGTTTTGCTTTTATTTTCAAACCAAAAAAAGATTTGTGTACAGGAGGGCTGATATAAAACCTGACAAAATGTGGTTCCAGATAGAACAGAAGCACCATTAATTACAACATGGGTAACAATAGGAATTTCTGTACCTGCAAAATGGATGTCTTAATTTTGTGTTGAAAAACCCAACATTTCCTTTGTCTTTAGTATTAGCCAGGAACACATTCCATGTTTTGATTTCGACCTTTCCCTCTAAGGGCTCTTGATTTTCCAGAGGATAGTGTGTGGCCTGCAACTCCACAATTAATAGGTCTCCATAATTAATAGGTTTTTTTAATATGACTTTAAAATCAGCATAATATGTCTTAGACCCTGAAAAAAAACGTGAGGCATTTTGAGCCCTTTAGATTTGGAGAGGATGAATAATCTTTAGTTATAAGGCTTCGTACTTTCAAACAGTATCAAAATTAGCTAAATTCATGCAGGCTGAAAATGCAACCTTTGAACAATGTCCTTTTAAAAACTAAACCCAGTAATTACCTAGCTACTACAATCAGTGTATTCTGTATAAATATCCTCAACCTACATTCGTGGTCCCATTTAACATTTGCTGCATTGCATTATAATAGCTCCAAAACAAAAACAGGTAACTGTAGATATAAATCTGTAAGAAAGCATCAATCAAGACACAATATTGGCTACAAATAGGAAGAATGTCTCTGGCTAGTTGCTGGGAAGTTTACAGGAGTAAGTGAACCCCTTATGGAATTATTGATCGATTTTATCATCTAGAATGATGCATCAAAAGTATTATTACACACATGGTCCATAAGCTTGTGACCTAACTCCCCACTGTAAACTGCATTGTGTACTCGTTACTATGGTGTGTATCTCGTCATACAAAGATCCTGGTGTGGAAGTGAAGCGAGCAAACTATTCGAGTGCAAAGTACAGAACGTTGGAAGGAACACCACGTTATGCCTCAATGCCTGGGTTGCATTAAGCCTCTGGCTAGTACTGTTGTGTTTAACGCACAAGTGGAAAAGTGACCCAGTGCAGTCGAGCTGAATCAACACATATTCAACAGCTGTACACTCAGTTGACGATGGGTTGCGTGTTGCAAAATTTTCTCGGAGGGAGAGGAGCCCGCTCTTTGCTTAGTAATGAGCAGCTGAGCCTCACTGCAGGCAATATTTCTTAGGTTGCAGGGGAGAGAAGGATAGGAGCCATGGAAATGCCAGACATTTGAATGGATGGATGATTGAACACAGCATTTTTTTTGAGGTATCTGACAAACTGTTCACAGTGGTGGAGCGATTTATATTCCCAGGTGTGCTGGTGGTTCTATGTTTATCTATACTTCTGTTGCAATGAATGTTCGATCTTATGCAAATCATCTCCCCAGGGCAGTTTTACGCAGTTGAGAGACTCAGAAACGATTAGATGTAAGTTTAACAAAAGGTCGCGCGCGCACACACACGCACACTAGACTCAGATTAACCAGTAATCCAGGCAGGGTTTGTGGAACGTGCATCTGTACACCCACCCAACAATAGAAAGCTGACTCATTACTAAACCTACTGCGTGCGGCACAAATCTGCTGTTTTGTGTACAAGGTGGGGCTGTGCTGTTTTGTTTCTCTCTGAGCTGTGCTGATGTTTCACTGAGCATGAGACATTTTTCCTGTTGTATCAATCCTCCATCTGACTACCGACCACCATTACATATATAGCAAAGCTCCCTGCGTATTTTCAAACCCCCCACTACTCTATTCGGCACTCTGATTGTAATCAGTAATTACTGTAAACAAGAACAAGCTGAAGCTTTCTGCAAAATCTGTAATTCACAGATTTTACAATTTTAACATTTTTAAAAAAAACACACAAAATCTACCTGAAAATATTCCAACAAACATGTACCATTTTAAAAAAAACTTTAAACATTTTTTCCCTGAACTCTCAATATAAAAAATTTGATTGTACTCTATGTTTGATAGGAAATTATTCGCAAGCATGCGTTTATTCTGAACAAACATCAGTGCTGCTCTTAATATTGCAGAGCCGTTTCCCATTCAGGAGCCAGGACTGCGTTTTAGATGGATTCCTCATCAAAATAAGTGCTCGATTCATTGCTTTGGCTCAAACCACAGCCATATAAACATTCAGCACAGAAGAAGGCCATTTGACTCATTGTATCTGCTGGCTCTTTCTAAGAGTGGTGTGTAATTCAACTAAACTTTTGTACTTCTGTCTCCAGTTTGCCATTTGACAGAATCCTTAATATATCTTCAATTTAGAGTGTTTACATTAGGATTGCTTCCGCCTGCTGATGATAACTTAACTCAACGGGTGCTTTCAGATTACATTTGCTCTGGCAATTTTGTGGTTGAACCACACCAGTGGTTAAGACTTTATTTTTGCTACTTTATTAATCCATCCAAATGCAAAGCTTGCCTTGAAATCAAATCGGTGCGTGTGTGTGGTGGTAGGGGGACGGTTACAAGGCAAACTGCAAATCAATAGCATCTTTCCAATTATTTCCAAATTAACTCACCATTTTGAACCCACTCATTTCAATCTGATTCACCAATGTACAGTGCATTAGATTGCTTTTGGGGAGTGAGTCACTGCTCACGTAGCTGGGAATTTTTACATAGTCGTGCTATTCAATACGATTGAATGCCTGCAAGCCAAATCCCTAACGGGGTAGGGTGGTCCTAGCTGGACAAACAGTGGGAAAGCTTGCCGGTCAGCAAAGTCCATGGCGAGCTATGTGTTTTTTATCTAGTTAGACTCTAACCAGTCTAACCAATGCATTCTAGGGTCCCCAAGACTTGGCTCTTGCCAATCTGCGCCTAATACTTTCCGGAATTAAGTATGCAGGATGCAGAACTCCAGGGATAGAGTGCGCATTCCATTCCAACAGTCTTATCTCTGGGATTTCTGACATATGTAGGTGGGATGCATGGAAATCTCAGCTTGTTTTGGATGCTTTTAAACCCGGTGATGGGTTTCCGCATATGTCAAGACACCCAGCTGACCAAGACAGAAAAAACGACTGAATGTCTTCAAGAATATTGCCCATTCTGTGCTTGTGTGTTTATGCCAGCTTGACTGTCTGTATCCTCTACATTAACAAGTTAAAGTCCCACTCCATGCTGAATCCAGATTTTCTACAGCGTCGCTCAATATATTTCCAGGTAATTTGTGCGGTTTGGCGGGTAATCCATGGCAAATCCAGTTGCTCACTCGCCAGACCATGATGCAAAATAACTTTCTGCACATGTCAACTAAGGCAAAACGGTGCTTTAAATCTAATAACCTGAGCAATCTTTGTCCAAATTTTGACAACTGTTTTGGTTCAAATCTGAGAGGAATTGTGGGCAAAACACAAAATACTGCAGATGCCGGAAATCTGAAACAAAAACAGAGAGCTGGGAAAACTCAGCAGGTCAGGCAGTATCTATGGAGAAAGGAAAGTGAGTCAACATTTCGGGTCCACGACCCTTAGTAAGAACGATGAAGGGTTGTGGACTCGAAACGTTGACTCACTTTCTCCATAGATGCTGCCTGACCTAATGAGTTTTCCCAGCTCTCTCTGTTTTTGTTTTAGGAATTATGGGGTTGGCTAACAGCCCTTTAAGGCTTGGATCTGTGTCTTACAAAAAGCAATGGAAGGATATTTGATCAATGAAAAGGCAACTGGCAACCAAACTGAGCAATCACAAACTTATGAAAGTTGAGTGTATGCAAAAGTCCAGGAGAATCTACTCTGGAGATGAGTCCTAGGCTGTGATTTAGTGCAAAGGGACAGATTGAGTCCTCACAGCTAATGTAACCAAGGTTGGTTCAGCTAAAAGGACAGACTGCGTACAATTATTCCTTTAGATAATACAACTAGCGCATTTTAGAGGGAAGAGATAGATATACAATTCCTACAAATTAAACAACTCTTCAGTGATGTGACATTTCCCTCCTAAGGCATCCACATCACGACCTCCAGTTCAATTTCAGTTTCCTACTCTTAATTGAGGTTGGGTTACAATCACAGCACTTCAATCCAATAATAATAATAATCCTTGCATTTGATGTAGAGCTCAATCTCACGACACTGGGACACTGCTGTGCGCAATTGGTTGCTGCATCTCACCCACAAAATATACAACAACAACAACAAGATTCCATTTATAGAGCGCCTTTCACGTCAGGAGGACGTCCCAAGGCGCTGCACAGTTGGGTCATGACCCGAGCAGGGGGGAAATGGTCAGGGTGAGGGGAGGGAAGGGAGGGAGCGAGGAGGAGGAAGAGAGTCGAGAGGGGAGCTGAAGGCACGGTCGATTCACTTTACAGTATATTCTGTGAACTCTTCGAGACATCCAGAAGACATGATAAGGTGCTATATCAAGAGCAAGGATTATTATTGTTATTAATCAATAGTCAATTAAGTATGGATTAATGAACCGATGCTGTTGGACTTGAAAGATGGAGAAATCAGGACGGTTTGACATGGTCCTGGGTATCTGCAATAATCTTCTGCAGCGACCTCAAAAATCCCCAGTAAGAGATTTCAACGACGTTTCAGTGGTGAATGTCACTAAAACAACTAAACGTTATTTTGTTTGGGAAATTTTAATTTCGTTTTCTAAAGCTTTTTCTCATTACCAGGAAGCCTTAACAGTGCCCACCGTGAGTTTATCTGCACCTTTGGACATTTTAATAAGTGTCATCTTTTGTGGGATTAAATTAAGAGTGCCTTTTGTTTACTAAGTGTCATCAAGATGTGTTCCCTGATAAGTCATTCAGTTGCACGCTCGTTTGGACTTCAAATACACACAAATAATGCCATTTTTGGGCCGTGCCCAGTGACCTTTGGTCAAACTAGTGGCTGGTCTTCGAAACACCCAAAGTTCGATATCTTCAAATGTCAAGCAATTAATTGAGATAATGTGCCTCTGCTATTGTCAACAATGAGCCAAGGAGCAGAATATTTGGTGGTGGGGTATTTGGGGGAGATCCTGGTATATTATTGCATCTCCCCCACCCAACAAAACAAGAATTTTGTACAAATTGAGTTAAATTATAATAATAATCTATTAATATTAATAATATATTATTATTACAAACTACTCCCAAATACAGATGAATCGATCGATCGTTTTTACCAGGCGTGTTCTGAAGTGGAGAGAAAGCAGTGCAAGCAACCATTGGGGGTCATCAAGCTCCAGTTTTTTCGGAAAGAAGTCACCGTTGGGTCTATGTGATGCGGATTCCAAGGACTTGTTCCAGTTCCTGCCTGCGTTGCTGAATCTGCAGCAAAGAAGGAATTTGCCGAGGGTTTCCATATGCTACACACACATTTCCGTTGGATGCCAATTCCCAAGCATTCTCTTACATTTTCCCCTTTACACGCCTCACACTGTTCATCTCTAGGTACACGTGTGGACGCGTTTCTCATCCTAGATGTGTGTGAACTCACTGCACAAGTTCCTCATTCAAATCTTCACCCAATCCCCTTCTGAATATACCTCCCCCACCGCCCGTCCCATCCCTCCATTAGCGTCGGGCCTTCAGCCTCTGCCCCCACCCTTTGGAACTCCACCCCACAGTCCCTTCGCTTCACCCCATCCCTTGCTTCCTTCAAGACACATCTCAAGACTCTTTTCATCTGCACCTTCAGCCACCTTCCTACCCTCCCTGCCCTCCACCCTCCCTCCTGATTCCCCCCGCCCCCACTTGCTCGGGTCCAAATCCCTGACTGCCCAGCACCTTGGGACATCCACCCAACATGAAAGGCACTGTACGAATGTAATCTTGTATTGTGATCTCAACCTCAAACACTATTTATGGCAAAGAACTCCATGTTCTAAAAGTCCTCTGCATATGAGATGTTTCTCCTAACCTCCCCTTTTAGCTTTTCCAGTTGCAAAGATGTTAAAAATCTTTGAAGCTGTTCGGACTACAAAATTGTGGCAATTGATCAGTTTTCCACCCCCACATCCCCTCACACACCCCCACCTTCGGAAAAGTACCAGTGTTTAATTTTCTCCCTCCCCCAATTTGAATTATCTTGCAATCTTTTCAGCCGAAAAGCTTACATAAAGCGTCTGTTATCCCAATACCTTTGAAAAGATGAATCGTCCAACACCTTCTTGGGTCCAAGGCTCATGGTAAAACTCAGCCCTTCTCTCCTCCTCTGGGTTTCCAATGATATCTGTCATCACCTGAACCAACAAGAGTATTTTTTTAATCACTTACATAAAATATGCAGTCAGTTTCGCCCACAAAATACACAGTCAATTCACTTCACTTCAATCCTGTGAAGTGCTTTGAGATGTCTCAATGATGTGATAAGGCACTATGTCAAATGCAAGGATTTTTTCTTATTATTAAAACTTTTGGAGCAAAGGAAACTTCTTAGCAAAAATAAAAATTCCTATCCTCGAAGACACAGCCACAGTAAGGTATAACCTGTTTTTAATATCCTTTTAGATTTACTTATATACACACACAAGTTTCTTTACTCAACACGCCTCTATTTACCCAGCATAAGTAGAAACCCATTTGTTAGTCGATTGGCGGATTACTTTCGGGGGGGGGGTAATAATCCCTCCAAAAAAATAACATAATCACTCAATCCATGACGGTTTGTGGGACAGTGCTGTGTGCAATTAGCTACCATGTTTCACCCACAAAATACAGTCACTACACTTTACAATATATTCTATGAAACGCTTTGAGACATCTTACTAACGTGATGAGGCACTATTATCAAATGTGAGGATTTACATGTCTTTAAATATCAGGAGGGCATCTCAAAGCACTGCACAGGATATACTGTAATGGGTAGGAGTACAATAGTGAAAAGTCATTAGAAGACTACACCTGCATTCCTTGCATAAATATTTATGTGTTGCGGTTTGGGCAGGAGGGTCTGTTTCAAAAAGCCGCAATGGTTCTTCAATCTTGTTCACTTCCTCATAAGGGCACAAAAGTTATACTTTTCTGAAAAGCGATCTGAAGATGTCTGTTACTATACCCTTCATGTGTAACAACAACAACTTGGATTTATATAGCACCCTCCACGCTGGACGGCGTCTCAGAGCGCTTCACAGTAACGGATCCCAGGGCCGAGCCAGGGGGAGGGGCGGGGGGGAAGGCGATCAAAGGCGCTGTGTCTTCAGCAGAGAGGGCGAGGCGAAGAGTGAGGAAGGCAGTTCCAGAGCCTCAGGGCATAGTGGCTGAAGGCACAGCCGCCGAGGGTGGAGTGGAGGACTCGGGGGATGAGGAGGAGGCCAGACGCAGAGGAACGAAGGCAATGGGCACTGTTTTGAGGAGAGAGAAGGTCAGAGAGGTAGGGGAGTGCAGAGGAGTAGAGGGATTTGAAGACAAGGATGAGGCTTGAAGACAACTTGTAAGGCTTCCTGCCTGTTCCTAAAACATTTCACATGCAACTTTGTCAAGTATCACAGCTCAAGTATTTGTCAGTGTCAACCACGCACTGTTCACTTATCTGCTACTCTCTTTTATCTGGGGAATTGTTAGCCTGGACCCCAGGAGAAACTCTCCTCTCTTTTTGAATTGTGCCAGAGGATCTTTAACATCTACCTAAATGTGTAGACGTGTCTGATCTGAAAGACATGTCTTTGCAGCGCTTCAATGGAGTGTCAGCTGAGACGACAACAAACTCAGTTGTTAAGACTGCATCAGTCTGACTTGAGGTTGGAAACCCACAACCTTCTGACCCAGAAACAAAAGTCCCAACAACTGATAATCCCTTCGAAATAGATAAGTAACAATAATAACTTGGTCACTTTATCCACGACTGTTTGTGCGCAATTGGCTGCCGTATTTCGATCACAAAATATACAGTCAATTCAGTTTCCGGTATATTCTATGAAGTGCTTTGAGATGTCTAGAAGACGTGATAAGGTATTATATCAAACTCGAGGATTATTATTATTATAACAGGTTGATACAACATTTGATACAAAATAAAGCCCCTCTTCTCGCCCCCCCCAACCTCAGAAGAGCATTGCTACTGCACCATTTTATTTGGCACGATAATCTCCGATTGAGGCTGCCAATATAACATTGCTTTGTGGGCGGTGTTTGTGCTGGGATCTTGTGCCCAGGACAAACTGCCTGAATCCATCTTGAACAGGTAGGACACTAGCCGTCAACAGACAAGACTGGGGCTGGTTTAAGAGCCCAGCTTCGAGACAAAAAAGGTCATTACATTAACTGCTCCCGGCACCAATCCAGTTATCACTAACTAGCGTGAAAATTCCAGCAGTGGGTTGGGACTTGGAAGTGGAGCAAAAAAGCAACACTGAGCGGGCAAGTCACTCACCTCCCATCTTTCAGACCGAAGGCTTTTTTTCTCCCATTGAAATGACGTCAGGGTGCAGAAAATAAAATAATGCAGAGCGAGCACACCTCTTGTGTTTTGCAGGCAAGTGTTGTGAGAACGGAACAAGACACTCAGGAAGCTGACAGCTAGAAGTGACACGCACACTCTAAACGTGACACGCAGCATCAAAAGCTGACACACCTGCTCAGCAATTGAGACTTGGGTGTTTTCTTCTGATTCGCTACACGGACTCACTGACAGGANTTTTTTTACTATGAATGCACTGCCTGAAAAGGGGTCAGTGGAAATAGATTCAATAACAACTTTCAAAAGGGAATTGGATAGGTACTTGAAGAGGAAAATCTTGCAGGGATATGGGGAAAGAGTGGGGGACTGGGACTGATTAGGTAGCTTTTCCAAACAGCTGGCACAGGCACGATGGGCCGAATGGCCTCCTTCTCTGCTGTAATATTCTATAATTCTAAGTCCAGTGACTTAGTGTGTTATTCAGCCGAATGCAGCAAGTGAAGGTCCCGCAAACAGCCAGTGTCTTGGGAGAAACTACCTTCTCTTTTTGAACTTCACAGCGGGTGAGGTTCAAAAAGGTTCAGACCAACTGCCTGAACAGGAAGATGGGAGCCCAATTCAACAGCTAATCCAAAGTACAGTATCTCCAACAATACAGCTTCTTCACCAGCGCTGAACTGGACTATCAGCCTATGTTGCCTGTATCTCTCTTTACCTTGTAATCTCTCCACTGTGACTTGATCCAGTCCTGGATAAACTCCTGGGGGTGGTTACTGAAACTTAGCATGAAGTCTCGCTGGGTCTTCAGCTGGTTAATCGATTCAATTGTGTCGTGAATCTAGGAGAATAATACAAGGAGAACATTTAGCTGAATATCATCCATTTATATTCTTTCAATCAAGAGAAAAAAAGCTTTTAAAAGTCTTGTGTTCTTCAGCATAATATTGAATAACACTAAATGCAAGAATTATTGTTTTTTGTAATACTGCATCTGTAAAGAAACCATAAGCTATCAAAGTAGCTTCCTGCATGTCCCTGGTCACTTCCACTTTTCCACTGGGTGACGTGCCGATACACAAGAATTTGGAACTCGCTGCCTCAATCCCTCCTCTGGTAATTGTATCGTATTTGAAAGAATGGGAATCAGTGAGGACTCATCAAGGAGAGAGAGAGCGAGAGTGCCAATCCCTTCAAACAACAAAAGGCAAAATACTGCAGATGCTGGATATCTGAAATAAAGACAGAAACAGGCAGGCAGGTCAGGCAGCATCTAGGAGAGAGGAAAGTGAGTTAGTTAACATTTCGGGTTCTGACGAAAGGTCATCGACCTGAAATGTTAATTCATTTTTGCCTCTCAACAGCAACAACTTGAACTTATACAGCACCCCTCCATGCAGTGTAGTGTCTCAGCTCTCTATAGATGCTGCCTAACCTGCCACGCATTTCCAGCCACTTCCCTTCAAACGACAAACAGATGCAAAACAAAGAAGAAACGAGGTGGGTTTTATCAATCGCATCACTGTGGCCGAGAGCCAGGACTCACCTTAACATCCAGGACCGCGATTTCCTGCTGGTTGGTCGTCGAAAGAAGAAAGTTACTCATTTGACTTTTCAGAGGGTCGTCAACCTCCACATCGATGTCATAGCAAGCCGTTTTCTTCTGGTCACTGGGGTCAACGCTACAAGCCGAATAGAAGGAGAGTCCAGCATTACATTACTGCTCTCAGGGGCTCTAACGATACACATGTCACTGGTCCTTACTGACACAAACAGAGATTGCGAAAGCCAGCTTATAAAATACGTCAACAAAATCTGCCCTCAATATTGACACTAACACCGTGGACAGTAGCGAGCACTAACATTGGTCATTACTGTATGTTATACCACAACTTGTACAAGTATTGAACCCAGTAATTAATATCCTGTTCCCATAAACCCAGTCACCGATGACTGTATAATGAACGAGGACCATGGATCAAGTAAACACACTCTCTCGCCATACTCTTTTTACCTTTCTGGGGGTCGTTACCCCCTTCTCCCATCCATCCATCCATCCACCCACCCACCAACAATCAACCAACCAACCAACCAATCAATCAATCAATCAATCAAAACTTGATCTCTCAATCCATGACTGTTTGAGGGACACTGCTGTGTGCAATTGGCTAACGCATTTCGCCCACAGAATACAGTCACTACCCTTTACAGTATATCCTGTGAAGCGCTTTGAGACGTCTCAACGAAGTGATAAGGCGCTACATCAAATGCAAGCCTTAATATTATTATTACTATTACCTAATCCTGAAGAGTATTTAGCTGCTTCAGGATTTACTGCCTCGGCCCGCGAGGTCAGGTTAGCAAGTTTTAAGTTCAGAACAGAAGCGAAATTTCCCTCAAACTTCCAAAGGACAAGAAACCTCAAGCTAAATGTTTGGTTTGGACATAGCTCTTACCTGATCATGTGGTTGATGATGATGGGGTCGGGATGCTGTAGGAGCGTGGCCAGTTTGACTGGAATCGCGGAGAATTTCATCCTCAAGCAGTTAAAGATCTACAGGAAAGACACTCGGAGGTATTAGCGGGGAGAAGCATCAGACAGACAGCCTCCGAGTCAACAGCTTATGGGATCAAAGCCATGGAGCTCACAGCACAGTCTAGGCTGACGCTGCATTACAGTGTTGGGGAGAAGCACTACATTATCAAGAGTTGTGCCTTTCAAATGAGATGTTAAATGAATACAAAATAATTCGGTGACTTCAATCCACGACCGTTTGCGAGACGCTGCTGTGCGCAATTGGCCGCCCCGATTCACCCACAAAATGCACAGCCAATTTGCTTTACATTGTGTTCTGTGAAGCACTTTAAGATGTCTTGAAGACGTGATAAGGCGCAAGTATTATTATTATTATTTTAATTGTTTATGAGTTCCAAGCCCACGTCAGCACCTTGGACCTCACAGTGCAGCCTCACAGCGCAGTCTAGGATGACACTGTAACATAGTGCTGGGAGGAACTCTGCATTGTCAAGTGTTGCTGCCCGCCTTTTGGATGAGATGTTAAACTGAGGCCCTGTCTGCTTGTTCAGGTGGACGTTAAAAGATCCCATGGCACTGTATCGTAGCTACTGACAGATAAAATCGGTCATTGACTTTAAACGTGGGGTTGGTTGGGTGACGGGGGGAGGCAAACAAACACACAGTAAAGGTCCTGATTGTTAGGCGCAATCCTCACCTGCTTGAAGTAGCGGTTGCAGTTGATGTACTCCTTCTCGTGGCTGTCCTGCATCTTGTTCTTTTTGATGTACAGCCACAGGGCCTGCATGATGTTAGCCCGAGTCTGGGTGTGGACGCCCAGCAAACGGGCCAGCCTGGCATCCAGCTTATACTGTGGGGGCTGAGAGAGCCAAGGGGACAACTTCAGCAATCGCCTCCAGTCCACCCACACGTAATTTTTTTTATATATAAGCACCTCATTGCGCCTATGTTGGGGGGAGGAGGAAAGAGGTGGGAGGGAGTGATTTTTTTCACCCCACGTGATCAGGCCCTTCAGCCTCTCTGCTTGAGACCCCACCCTTTGGATCTCCACCCCACAGCCCCTTTGCCTCGCACCCACTTCTCTCCCCACCCTACCCTCCCCCGCTCCCGTTGCCTCATTTAAGTTCAAGGCCCATCTCAAGACCCTCCTAATTTGACTGCGCCTTCAGTTCACTCTGATCCCAACACCCCGTCCCCTCCCAACCCAGCCCCACCAGCTCGGGTCCAAATCCTTGTCCACGTTTCACCCATAAAACATACAGTCAATTCACTTTACAGTATATTCTGTGAAGTGCTTTGAGACGCAAGGATTATTAATATTATTATTGTTATTATTATTATTCATTGTCCAGCGCCTTGGGATGTCCTCCCGACATGAAAGACGTGTGTAAATGTAATGTGTTGTTGTTGTTTGGCTGCTCAAACGGTAAATTCCTCCCACCTGATGATCCAGCATCAGGAGCAGAGTGCACTTCACATTGACGTCTCCCGGCCGTTTCACCTGGAAGCCATCTGTCTCCTGGGTGGTGGGCATCCGGTGCCACTATCACATCATAACAACAACCGCCATTAATGTTCATACAAGGAAACGCGATGCACATGCGAGGCAGAAGGGAATCAGGCCTTCAGCCTCTCCGCCTCCCACCCTTTGGGTCTCCATTCCACAGTCTCTCCAGCCTCGCTCCCTCCCTTGCCTCCTTCAAGGCACATCCTCTTTGACCAGGCCTTCGGTCACCCTCCTACCCCTACCCTCCCTGACTTCCACCCCTCCCTGATCCCAACCCCCTGCTCAGTCCAAATAAATCTCTGACTGTCCAGCGCCTTGGGACGTCCTCCCGACGTGAAATGCGCTACACAAATGTAACTTGTTGTTGTGTTTGTGTATAAAATACACGGTCACTGCACTTGACGGTAGTTTCCTGTGAAGTGCTTTCTGAGGCTGCTGTTGCACATGCTTCACGAAACGTGTCATAGGATTCGTGAGAACGGACCTCTCTTCACTCATTTAGGCAGAAGGAAAACCGCGCAGAATATAATGAACTACTTTATTGCCTCGTGATCTAAACATAAGCATGTAAGAGTTGCTGGACGAAAGAAGACCGAGGTCCATCCAGTTTGACTTCCACCATCCTGGCAGTCGCTTGCACGCTTCATGTACAGTGTATCCCAAGATATTATTTCCCAAAAGAAATCCATCCAATTTGCTTTTGAAAGAATCAACACTTTCTGCTTCCACCGTCTCCCTAGAGAGCCTGTTCCATACATTTTCGACTCGCTCACTGAAATAGTTTTTCCACAAATGATTTGAATCTACACCCCCTTTAATCGCAAGCCATGTCCTCTGGTTCTACAGTTCTGGACAAGAAGACTTGATGAAGCGCTAAATCAAATGCAAGAAGTATTATTATTATTATGATTATTATTGTTATTATCATTAATCCCTTCAGAATCTTATCAACCTATCACCACTCCTGGCTCTGAGCTCTCACCTCCACTAGGTGATTGTCTGGCCCGTAAAGGTCTTTGTCCAACTCAATGACCAAACTCTTGAAGAATGACGAAAACTTTCTCTTCACTTTTCCAGGCTGCAGAGAGGGGCGTTGGAGGGCAGAGAAGAAGAGTGTGTGAGGGTAAGCAAGATGAGGGGAGCGTAAGGGTTAACGGGAGGCGCTGGGTACAGGGCAGGAAGCTGCGAAGGGGGGAGGGAGCGGGAACAATCTAACTCACATCATCGAGGAGTTTTCCTTCCACCCGAAGCTCCCAGGAGGCGACAGACTCGCCCTCCCCCTCGCCCTCAGGCTTGGCTGGCATGTAAGTGTTGGAGATGTAGATCCTCAGCTTACGCTTTTGCTGAGGAGGAAAAGACAAATGGCAAACATTTGGGATTATGATACTCTCAGTGAGAACCACCGAATTTTACAACGCAGCAGGCCGTATGACTCCTCGTGACACTGTCGCGTTTCTGAAAGAGGTTAACCGTTTAATGTGCGCAATTGGCTGCCGCGTTTCGCTCACAAAATATACAGTCAATTAATAATAATCCTTGCATTTGTTATAGCGCTTTTCACATCTTCGAGACGTCTCAAAGCGCTTCACAGAATATACTGTAAAGTGAATTTACTTATGTATTTGTGGGCGAAACGCAGCAGCCAATTGAGGACAGCAGTGTCCCATAAACAGTGACTAAGTTATTATTGTCTTTTTTCTTGAGGCATTATTATCAGGAGTGTGTGTGTGGAGTAAGGTAACTTGCCCAAAGTTTCGCCCAGCCAGGAATCAAACCCAGGTCTCACAGAATATTCTTCACAGAATAAACTGCAATTAATTTTGCAGTATATTCTGTGAAGCCCTTTGAGACATCTAGAAGATGTGATGAGGCTCTATATCAAATGCAAGAGTTATTATTATTATTATTACTCCCTTACAAACTAAGGTCTAATACAACAACAAATTACATTTGTGTAGCGCCTTCCACTTCGGAAGGACGTCCCAAGGCCCGAGATAGTCAGGGATTTGGACCCGAGCAGGGGATTGGGATAAGGAGGGGTGGAGAGCAGGAAGGGTTAGGAGGGTGTCTGAAGGCGCAGTCGAAGAGGAGGGTCTTGAGATGTGCCTTCAAACAAAAGGCAAAATACTGCAGATGCTGGAAATCTGAAACTTAAACAGAAGTCGCTGGGATTCCTCAGCAGGTCAGGCAGCATCTATGGAGAGAGGAATGGAGTCCTGTAGCTCAGTGATTAGAGCACTCGCTTTGCAAGCGAGAGACCTGGGTTTGATTCCTGGTAGGGTGAAATCTTGGGCAAGTTTCCTTACTCCATACGCCTGATAATAATCCCTCAAAAAAATAATAATAAATTGGTCATTTCAATCCACGACTGTTTGTGGGACACTGCTGTGTGCAATTGGCTGCCCACATATATAGTCAATTCACTGTACAGCCTATTCCATTAAGCACTTTGAGACGTCTAGAAGATGTGAAAAGCGCTATATTTTTTCATAGAATTCATAGAATGTTACGACACAGAAGGAGGCCATTCGGCCCGTCGAGTCTGTGCCGGCTCTTTGACAGAGCAAGTCACTTTCACTAACCCCACTCACCAGCTTTCTCCCCATAACCCTGCAAACCCGTCTTCCCCAGATACCTATCCAGTTTTCTCTTAAAAGCTGTTATCGAATCGGACTTCACTACCCTTTCAGGCAGATCATTCCAAATTCGAACAACTCGCTGAGTGAAAAATAATCCATCTTATCACTCTTTTAAGATCACTCCTGCATTCTTTATAATGCGATTTGCTATCCTCAGTATCTTGCGTCTTCCAATTGTCGTACGCCGTCTTCTTCTTTTTCATCCTGGTCATCCAGGCTGGCTTGGTTGTAGCACATTTCCCTTTTGTGGGAATATATCTATTTAGACCTTGAGCTATCATATCTTTGAAGATCTCCCATTGCTCATGAGTTGTTTTATCTGCTAGTCTTACTTGCCAGTCCACTAACTCTAGGTCCCTTTTTAGCCCATCAAAATTAGCCCTTTTCCAGTCAAGCATTTTCACCCTTGACTGTACTTTGTCCCTGTTCATGAGTAATCTAAATCTAATAATATTATGGTCACTGTTACCTAGATGCTCCCCTACCGAAATCTGTTCAACCTGATCTATTTCATTCCCCAGAACTAGACCCAGCAATGCTTCCTTCCTCGTAGGACTGGAGACATACTGCTCAAGAAAATTTTCCTGTACAGTCTATGAATCTTTCTCCTGCCTTGCCCTTAGCGCTGCTATTTTGCCAGTCTATATTGGGATAATTGAAATCCCCCATTATCACAACTCTGTTCGCCTTACATCTATCCGCGATCTGGTTGCAGATCTGCTCCTCTATCTCCTTCCCGCTGTCTGGTGGTCTGTAGTAAACCCCTATCAGTATAACTACTCCTTTCTTATCTCTTATCTCTAACCAGATGGATTCTGTTGTCGGGCCCTCTAGAGCCTCGTCCCTTTCTACAGCTATAATTGTATCCTTAACTAATATTGCCACCACTCCTCCTTTTCTTCCTTCTCTATCCTTCCTGAACACATTATATCCTGGAATATTTAACTCCCATTCCTGTCCTGGCTTGAGCCATGTCTCGGTTACTGCCACCACATCGTAACCCCCTACGGCCAGTTGAACCTGCAGCTCATCAACCTTATTCCCTAAGCTACGTGCATTTAGGTACATGCATTTGAGGAAATTGTCCACTTGTACCTGCTCTACACTTCCCACTTGTCTTTTTCCTCTAATCTTTAATCCATTGTTTATCCTTGGATACCCACCCCCCTCGACACTAGTTTAAATCCGTCCCTACAGCATTTGATAATCTCTTGGCAAGGAAGCTCACCCCTGCCTTGCTTAAGTGCCGCCCATCCTCAAGATAAAGATCCCACCTCCCCCAGTAGTGGTCCCAATTGTCCAGAAAACGGAAACCTTCTTTTCCAGACCATTTCTCCAACCAATCGTTCATGCGCCTGATCCTTTCATTATGGTGCCTTGTTGCCCGAGGTACCGGGAGTAACCCAGACATCACCACCTTGGATGATCTGGACTTGAGTTTGCTCCCCAGCTTTTGATACTTGCCCTGGAGCATCTCAGCCCTCTTCTTACTAATATCGTGGGTCCCCCACATAGACCACGACTTCTGGACATTCTCCTTCCCCCCGAAGAATCTTGCGCTCTGTGACGTCCACTACTCTTGCAGCAGGAAGGCAGCAAACCATCCTAGCCTCACGATTCTGATTACAGAAGATCCTGTTACTGTTGAATCCCCTATCACAACTGTATTGCCCTTGTGAACCATGCCCTTGTCCTGTTGGACAGAATGTCCACTGCTGTCTTCACGAGAGGCTTCCACGCTCTCGATAGCTAATGTTGAGTACCGATTAGAGACTGGTACTCTGTTGGGGGTGCTCTGCCTTGAACAAGCCTTCTTCTTGCCCCGTCGCACTGTCACCCAATCACTTTTAGCATGAATGAAGGGTGGCTGTGTGTTGGGCTCCTCTGGGAGTGGTCCTTTTCTTGAACTCTGACCTCCCGATAGCTCCAGTACCCCTCTCTCATGGCTCCTATACAGCAATGGGCTGCTATAACTGAGTCCTAGCGGAGTGAGGGTCTCCTCCACCATGCTATCCAGGAACCTCTCACTGTCCCTGATGGAGCGCAGTGTCTGCACCTGAGATTCCAGCTCAACTATTCTAAGTTGGAGCTTGCTCAGTTGCAGACATTTGCTGCAAATGACCTGCTGATTTCAGTTCCCAAGGTCTTATACAAGTTCAATGTTGCCACTTGGGCTCAGGTTGCCCTCCATCAACTACCACATACCACATTCCACGCACATCACCTGCCAGGCCATTATCTATCTCCTCTTACTTCCCCTTATATATATAAGCTGCACCTACTTCCCCCTCTGCACATAATTCCCACTCTCACCCAATTCCTTCTCACTCTGGCCTCGCCTCACTCCGGACGTAGCTCACTCTAGGCTCTCTGCTCGAGTGATATCAAATGCAAAGTATTATTATAAAGTGAGTTAACATTTCAAGTCGTTAACCTCCCGAAATCTTAGACCTGAAACGTTAACTCACTTTCCTCTCTCCATAGATGCTGCCTGACCTGTTGACTTCAGTTCCCAAGATCTTATACAAGTTCAATGTTGCCTCCTTGATTCTGAATTCTACAGATCAGGGACAGAGAAAATCACGCACTGGAAAAAACTTGGTAAAAGTCTTGCTTACCGTTAAAGGCTTCTTCATGGATTCTTGAATCTCTAGACGTTTCCTCATGATCGTCTGGTCCAGTTTGCGCTCAAAGGCCAAGAGGTCCATGTAAGCCTGAGATTCAGGAACGAGTTCTCGGATCTGCACAGACCAAACGCAGCCAAGTAATGACATAAGAACATAAGAAATGCTGGACCAAAAAAGACCAAGGTCCATCTAGTTCACCTTCTATCTTCCTGGCGGTCGCTTGCAAATATGTCCTGAGCTAATTATTTGCTATATCCCGTAATGTTATTCCTTAAAAGAAAACTATCTAATCTGCATTTCAAAGAATCAGCACTTTGTTCAGGCTGGCTTGCAACCGCTCTACCCATTGGGGCTCTAGCTTTTCCTTGGTCATCGGGGCTCCCATTTCAGGGTTGAGGACATCTCTACACTTACAAGTCTCGTTGACGACCCAGACAGACTGGGCTACCATCAACACTGGCTCGGATTTCTCGCACTACATGTCTCCTGAGAACACATATAATAATAATAATAATAATAATAATAACAATCATAATAATAATAGCATTTGATACAGCGCCTTAACAAGTATTTGAGATGTCTCAAAGCACTTCACAGAATATACGGTAAAGTGAATATTTTTTGGGCCAAACGCAGCAGTCAATTGAGCACAGCATGTCCCACAAACAGTCGTGGATTGAGTGACCAAATTATTACTTTTTTTTGAAGGAATTCTTAGTCCCGGAAAAGCAATCCGCCAATTGATTAACAACCGGGTTCCTTTTTACTCCTAGATAACGTCCAATGCCCAACCTACCGGCAATCGAACCCAGGTCTCCCGCTTGCGAGGGGTGAGTGCTCTAACCCTGAGCTACAGGACTCCATATGAGGTGAGGGTACATACGGCAATGAGAAGTGGCCACTATGTCTGCAGATTTCTGCTCTCCACCTCCCCTCCCATGCCTTGAATTAGTGATCAAGTTTATGACAATGCAACTTAGGTGGAAAAACACCCATAGTGGACCCACCGAGTGGTCAGATAGAAAATGTTACACATGGCACACAAACACAACACACAGAAATACAACACACACAATACAAACAACACAACACACACAAACACAACACACACACAATACAAACAACACACAAACACAACACACACAGAAAAACAACACATACACAAACACACACACACCATCCTTCTCAAGAGTGCATCGTCTATTGGCAATCAGAGGTTGACAATGATTGGTACAGAAAATTCTTATTGAATTACATTTCAAGAAGTGATACCAAAATACAAACTTGCCCTTTGTGGTAGAATTTTGTCAGCCATCTTCCTTCTCTTCACACTGCAGATAGATAAGTGAAAGGAGCATGTTTAGGTAACAGCAAGAAATTGAAGATGAAAGAAATGTAACATATAAAAAAATTAAAATATTATATTAAAAAAATGCATATTTTTAAAAAGTCCATATATTTTGTGACATTTGGTAATTGATTGCGTTCGATTCATACAAAGTTTATCTGCTGTGAACCCTCTTGAAAAAAATTATATATTGAATCGTTTCTCTTGTTAAAGCCAAGAACGCAAGTTGAAGCAACAGCAACAACAACTTGCATTTATACAGTGTCCCTCAGGGTTGCATCCCAGAGCGCAATTAGTCAGCCTCGATTGTCCCCAAGTCAGATACAGCCCAGGTCAGAGGTAGAGTGACCTTCCCTCTACACTGCCCAACAAGCATTTCCAGGTCAGGTACAACTGTACCTTACATTCAGAGTAAAGCAACGCTGCCTCTGAAAAGCACACCTTGTTCTCGGTCTCAGACACACCAACTGTTCCAACCCTGCATTTTGGTTCCCTACAACGTAAGAAACGCCAGACGAAAAAAAAGACCAAGATCCATCTCATTCGCCTTCCACCTTCCCAGCGATCGCGCGCACATATGTCACAGACTACCTGTGTACCGTATCCCATAATGTTATTTCCTAAAAAGAAAGTTATCTAATCCGTGTTAGAAGGAACTAACGCGCGCTTCCTGCTTCAACCGACTCCCCCAGGGAAGCCTGTTCTACCGGTTCACAGTTCGCTCGGCGAAATAGACTTTCTGTAAATTCATTCCAGCGACTTGGGACGTCCTCCTGATGCAAGAGGCGCTGTATGAATCCAATTTGCTGCAGTTGTTGTGAATCTACCATTGGCCGTACTTATCAAACTGTCGTTGGTGGGGTGGGGGGGCACAACCCGACAGCCAATTGTGCCCCACAGACAGTGATCATGTTTTTTGGGGGGGACGGTTTATTAACCCCCGAAAAGTGATCCACCAATCGACTTAACGACCGGGTTCCTACTTACTGCTGGGTAAACAGAGGCTATTTATGAATCTCTTGATGAGTGCTGTTATGGGCTTAAGGCGCCGGCCTTACCCTCTCCCTCGATTCAGCATCGGCTGCTGGTGAAGACGCTTGCGGAACGGGTCCATCATTTGCTGTGACATTCCCAGCCTCCCAGCAGCATTCCCCATGTACTGTGGGGCGGAGGGCATTCCCATCTGCATGCCCGGCATTCCCATTCGAGCTCCTGCCAGCATCCCTGGCGGCCGCTGAGGATCAACAGGGTGGGTTGGGGGGAGGGAGGGGGAAGAGGAGACGGGGGAGCAACACAATACAATTTACAATATAATTTGCATCTGATAAAAACTCCTTTTACTTTAAAGAGAAGAAAAAAAGAAAATATCACATGGAATTTCAATCAATTATTTGCTTTGATCTATTTCTGAGTTTATATGTTGTATTTCTAGTGATTGAGAAAGTTTATAATAATATTTGCATTTGATATCGTACCTTCTCACGTTGTCCAGACCTCTCAAAAGCGTTTCACAGAATCACGCACCTTAAAGGGGTTTTGACTGTGTGTTTTGTCGGCGAAACGCAGCAGCTACTTTGTCGGCCCCAGATAAAATTGGGCCACTCGCTCTTTGGCTCTGTTGTGGGACGTTGCTGTGTGCAAACTGGCTGCCACGTTCCACCCACAAACAATAATAGTCACTCCACTTTACAGTGCCTCACCCTGTAAGGCGCTTTGAGACATCTCAACGACGTGAAAATGCGCCAGGTCAAACACGAGTATTATTATGGTTATAATTCCTACAAGTCACATCTCCTGCATACAACAAACTCCTGTCTGTTATGCAGCTTTGACCCACTTCCGAACATGAGTGGGCGGTGGTGGGGGGGACGGGGACATGTGATGGTGCTCATGGCCTCTGGTTAGTTACACACACACACGGGAAGACAAGACACTGTTTGTAAAGGGGAGCATTGTGGATTGTAAGAATCAATTGCAACCCCAGAGAGAGAGAGGGATAGTCACTGTGCTCTTGGCTCGGAGAATACTGCAGAGCGAGAGAGAGAAAAAGACAGAGAGATAGAGACAGAAAGAGAGAGAGAGAGAGAGTTATTGTGCTCTTGTTTCGGTGCAATACTGTAGAAAGAGAGAAAGAGACAGAGAGAGAGAGACAGACAGAGACAGACAGAGAGAGAGACACAGGGAGAGAGATACAGAGAGAGAGAGACAGAGAGACAGTCAGAGAGAGAGAGACACACACAGACAGACAGAGAGAGAGAGAGAGAGAGAGACACAGACAGACAGAGAGAGAGACAGACAGTCAGAGAGAGAGAGACACAGACAGACAGAGAGAGAGAGACACAGACAGACAGAGAGAGAGAGACACAGACAGACAGACAGACAGACGCAGAGGGCCTTCATGCGACAGTAAATGCGGAAGTAGAGAGGAACGCGGTGTGGGAGTGGAAAACGCACATCTAAAGAGGATGAGGAAGGGCTGAGAGGCCATATTCTCTGAGAAAGCGACTGAGAGTCAAAGACAAATAATAAAAGGCGCTAAAATATGATTCCTTTTTGTTTTTAAATAAAAACGGAGAGAGGTTACACTGAGCCGCTCACTGGGGCTTTGCTGATGTCAACGGGATTTTTATTTTATTGTGTGTGTACATGTGTGTGGGTGTGTGTACATGTGTGTGTGTGGGTGTACATGTGTGTGGGTGTGTGTACATGTGTGTGGGTGTGTGTACATGTGTGTGTGTGGGTGTACATGTGTGTGTGTGGGTGTACATGTGTGTGGGTGTGTGTGTGTGGGTGTACATGTGTGTGTGTGGGTGTACATGTGTGTGTGTGGGTGTACATGTGTGTGTGTGGGTGTACATGTGTGTGTGTGGGTGTACATGTGTGTGTGTGGGTGTACATGTGTGTGTGTGGGTGTACATGTGTGTGTGTGTACATGTGTGGGTGTACATGTGTGTGTGGGTGTACATGTGTGTGTGGGTGTACATGTGTGTGTGTGGGTGTACATGTGTGTGTGTGGGTGTACATGTGTGTGTGTGTGGGTGTACATGTGTGTGTGTGGGTGTACATGTGTGTGTGTGTGTGTGTGTGTGGGTGTACATGTGTGTGTGTGGGTGTACATGTGGGTGTGGGTGTACATGTGTGTGTGTGGGTGTACATGTGTGTGTGTGTGTGGGTGTACATGTGTGTGTGTGGGTGTACATGTGTGTGTGTGTGTGGGTGTACATGTGTGTGTGTGGGTGTACATGTGTGTGTGTGTGTGGGTGTACATGTGTGTGTGTGGGTGTACATGTGTGTGTGTGTGTGGGTGTACATGTGTGTGTGTGTGTGGGTGTCAGTGGAAACTCGTTTTATACAAAAACAGAGAATTTAAAAACACAATAAAACACAACGTTTCTCCCCACTTTTATATAAATCTAAAGGGGGAACATTGTAAGAGTTCATACATTCCCCCACACCCCCGCCCCCCCCCCCCCACACACACACACCCCCCCCCACCCACCCCTCCCACACACACCCACACCCCCCACACACACACCCACACCCCCCACACACACACCCACACCCCCCACACACACACACACCCCCCACCCACCCCACCCACACACACACACACCCCCCACACACACACACACACCCCCCACACACACACCCCCACCCCCCCCCCACACACACTCCCCACACACACACACCCACACCCCCACACACACACCCACACCCCCCCCACACACACACCCCACCCCCCCACACACCCCCCCCACACACACACACACCCCCCACCCACCCCTCCCACACACACCCCTCCCACACACACACCCCTACACACACACCCACACACACACCCCCACTCCCCCCACACCCCCACCCCCACACACACAACCCCCCCACACCCCCCACACCCACACACACACCCCTACACACACACACCCCCACACACACCACCCCCCCCACACCCCCACCCCCCACACACACCCCTACACACACACCCACACACACACACTCCCCCCCCCCACACTCACCCCCACTCCCCCACACTCCCCCCCACACTCCCCCCCACACTCCCCCCCCACACACACACCCCACACACACAACCCCCCCACCCCCCCCCCCACACCCACACACTCCCCCCCCCCCACACTCACCCCCACTCCCCCCACACTCCCCCCCCACACACACCCCACACACACAACCCCCCCACCCCCCCCCACACCCACACACTCCCCCCCCCCCCCACACACACACACTCCCCCCCCACACTCCCCCCCACACACACACCCCACACACACAACCCCCCCACCCCCCCGCCCCCCCCCCACACACACACACTCCCCCCACACACAAAAAAAAGATTGAAAGAACATTTTTTTGCCTCCAAAACCACCACTTTAAAAACCATACAACTTTTATCGCAATTCTCGCCCAAAGAATAAGTTTAAAGTTCAGTGGAAACTTCCCCAAAAGTGCCAACAGGTCACAGCAGTGCTGCTGCGGCTCTGAAAAATAATAAAAACATATATCTAACAACAGATTTTAGTTTTCTTAGTGTAAGATTGGGGGGAAAGAGAAAGAAAACACATCGAAAGCGATCAATAAACCAAGAATCATTATATAGAAAGAGATAAAGAGACAGAAAACATATCTATATAACACACACACGAGAGAGAGAAAATAATTCAATCATTTAATCCCCAACAAACTCGAACGGAAACCCACACACAAACGGGTAACAATGTTGTTATTTCGAGCACTGCAGATGGTCGGAACTTCATTGATTTTTTTTCGAGGAAATAATGGAGTAAAGTTACTTTTGTTGCTATTTTTCTTAAATGGGAAGAAATATTCTTTCAGGGATACAATTTGCAGATCGACAGATACATTACATACTATATATAAAATACGTATAAAACATAATATATAAATATATAATATATAAACAATTTCTCATGTTGTTATTTATATTATATTATATATATATATATATGAAACATGAGAAATGCTGTGAGAGAGAGAGAGAGAGAGAGAGAGAGGGCATTGGGTGGAGGTTCACTCACAGGGAACCCAACTCCTGGAGCCATGGGGCGGAATCCTGGTCCTTGTTGGAGACTTGGAGACATCCTAAGGCTCTGTCCAGTCATGGGGTTGACCCCAGCGTTGGGGTGCACAGGGCTCCCCTGGCTCACCAGATAGCCTCCACCCCCTCCTGCTCCTCTTGTCGCCATTTTTCTTTCTTCTTTCGTTTGCAATTCGAAAACGATAATTCAAGAGAGGAAGAAAAAATAAGACATACAAAAGCCTATCTCAACTGCGATCTCCTCCCCCCACCCTCGCTCCCCCCCTCCCCCCCTCCCTCCCTCTGCAAACACATCCCAGTCTGGACTGTCACTTCATCTGCGAAACACAGAACACAATTGCATATATATATATATATATATATAATTCAAGAAACACTCCTCCAAATAGTAGTCCAATGCTTTTTTGGAGGGAGGGAGGGAGGGAGGGAGAGAGTAAGATTATATATATATATATATATATATATGCTGTGTTCAGTTCCCTCCTTGTTGGCTAAATGGTTAAAATGTGCTGCTTACAATAGGTGCCCTTCTTTAAGGTAATCCTGCACTTGGCAGCAGAGCAGAGCAGAGCAGAGGTGGGGAGGAGGGAGATAATACCTGTCTGGTGTCACTATTACTCATTGGATCTGCTGATCAGCAGTGAGCCTGTCTCTGGCTCTGCCTCTGGCTCTGCCTCTGCCTCTGGCTCTGCCTCTGCCTCTGCTCTGGCTCTGGCTCTGGCTCTGCCTCTGCTCTGGCTCTGCCTCTGGCTCTGCCTCTGCCTCTGCTCTGGCTCTGGCTCTGGCTCTGCCTCTGCTCTGCCTCTGGCTCTGCCTCTGCTCTGCCTCTGGCTCTGCCTCTGCCTCTGCCTCTGCCTCTGCTCTGCCTCTGGCTCTGCCTCTGCTCTGGCTCTGCTCTGCCTCTGCCTCTGCTCTGGTTCTGGCTCTGCTCTGCCTCTGCTCTGGCTGACACTGACACATGCTCTGAAGTTCCTTGAAACCAGCAGCTCCACTGATAAAGATCAGTGTGTTGTTGCCAGACTCTTGTTTGGTGAAGGGTAGCTATTCCCGCCCACTCAGCTTTTGGCAGATGGGTTGGTTCTGGGGATTGTACTTAGAAGCCAAGCAAACTCTCCAAAAAGTCCAGCGCCCTCTGCCTATTATACTATTCTCTCAAACTAAAATTGGCTCTAGACTGTAAAAAAAACACTCTCCTCCATCACAAGAAACTTGTGCCACTCTGCCTGGACAGAATAGGTAGTTCTAATGGTGCAGTCAAACTGGGAACATTGAATCCTGTTTTGCAAAGCAATCCAGGGCTAATAATAGTAATAATAATAATAATAAATAATCCTTCAATCCATGACTGTTTGCGGGACTCTGCTGTGCGCAATCGGCTGCCGCTTTTCGCCCACAAAATATACAGTCAATTCACTTGACAGTATATTCTGTGAAATATCTCAAAGACATGATAATGCACTATATCAAGAGTGCCTTATCACATTGTCGAGCTATCTCAAAGCACTTCATGGAATCTACAGTACCGTAAAGTGGCAAAATAATAAAATATTCACAGAAAACCCTTGCCTCTGCTAATTTGCATCACTAAAAGAGCATACATAAATACATAGAAACGTGCAAAACAATATATAGGAATATAGAGGGCGACCAGAAAGTCATGATATCATTACAATGTCTCATAAGTCTTAAAGAAATCATGATTTTTTTCAGATAATAGGATAGAGATGTTACAATAGTCAGTAGGTTGTGTTCTGTGTGAGCTGTATGTGAGCCCCTTTTTTATTATTGAGTGATGTGAGGGATAATTTAAATTTGTGACCCTACGGTGAAGTAAAGACTGACGCAAATGCACAATTAATCAAGGTTTATTAATTCAGATTAACAATGGCTATAAGCAATTAGAAGAGTACGTCACAGTAATGCTTATGTACCCACGTACAGTTCACAATGAGTTGATCAAACCAAATGCTGTGACCACACCTGTGACCACGTGTTCAATTTCGGTTGGATAGCGCTGTGCTTAAAGGGAATCTAGGCTGATGCTTCTGTGCTTTTCTGGGCTGGGGGCCTGCATTGTCAGGGATACTGCCTTCAGATGAGACGTTAAACACAGGTCCTGTCTCCCTGTTCAGGCGGACGTTAAAAGATTCTGTGGCCCCATTCAAAGAGAAAAGGGAGTTTCTCCCAATGTCCAGGCCAATAACCCCCCCAATAGAATTCAAGCACCTGGCATGAGGGGCGCTATATAAATGTAGCTTGTTGTTGGTGTCGTAAAATTGGTCGTTCACTTCATTGCAGTTTGTGGGGACATTTGCTGTCTGCAAATTGTCTGCTGCGTTTGCTTCTCTCCCTCCCCACCTTCAAAAACATCCTAAGATCTTTTGGTCACCTTTCTCCTCCTCAGTCTGCACTCACAGAACATCACAGAACTTACCTAGCAGTAAGTAGGAATCTAGTTGTTAATCAATTGGCAGATCGCTTTCTGGGGTAAATAATAATTTGGTATTTCAATCCACGACAGTTTGTAGTGCACTGCTGTGTACAATTGGCTGCCACGTTTCGCCCACAGTATACAGTCAATTCACTTTACAGTATATTCTGTGAAGCGCTTTGAAACGTCTCGAAGACGTGATAAGGCGCTGTATTAAATGCGAGGATTATTATTATTGCTAAACTGGGTTGCTCTGCCAGGGTTCGAGATTGAACAGCAAAAACACTCAGAATGTGCCCTCTGCTGGCACGGTGGGCGCATTGCATCTAGGTTTTGTTTATTGACTTTGTTTTTAATAGTTTCCGGTTCATAAATCATTCTAAATCAGACTTCACCAAAGTTGATGAAAGTTGAATAGACACACGATACAAGCAGTGGTTTTCAGTGTTGGTTTTGACTTATTTTCACAATGAATATACAGAATTTGGGACTTCCTCCCGACGTGAAAGGGAATGTAAAGTCATTACGAAATGTAATTGTATTGTATATTTTGGGTGAAAGTCAATCAATCTCTGTGAAATAAATCACATTCTCTTTTCCCAGCCCCTGAGATGTAGCAATGTGATCGTTCGCTCCTCTGAACACCTGTGATGGTGTTCCTGTGAAATAAAAACAGAAGTGGCTGGGAACACTCAGCAGGTCAGGCAGCACCTACAGAAAGAGGAAAGTGAGTGAGTTAACGTTTCGTGACCTTTCGTGAGTTCTGATGAAGAAGCGCTCTGAGACGCCGTCCGGTGTGGAGGGCGCTCTATAAATCCAAGTTGTTGTTGTTGTTGTAGATGTTGCCTGACCTGCTGAGTGTTCCCAGCCACTTCTATTTTTATTTCAGATATCCAGCACCTGCAGTGTTTTGCCTTTTGTAGATGGGGTTCCCACGACGTGCTTTTGATGCCCACATACATCACTTAACAGCAGGAATGGTTTGTGTCTACAGGACATCAAATTACAATGGTGAGCAAGGGAGGAGGAATTTCTTTACACCGAGAAGTTGTGAGGATGTGGAATGCTCTACCGGGAGCGGTGGTTGAGGCAAAATCCTTAATAATAATCTTTGCATTCAATAAAGCGCCTTATTACTTTGTTGAGACTGTCTTGCAGTGCTTCACAGGTTATTTCTTAGCTGTGTGTCTTGGAGCAATTTCAAGAGGGAACTAGATATTTAGAAAGGTGTCAATTGCAGAGGTATGGGGAGGGGGGGCAGGTAAATGACATTGAACGGATTGTTCTTTCAAAGAGCACAGCATGGACACAACCATCCGAGTGGCTTCTTCTGTGCTGTGAAGTCCGATAGTTCCAAGTTGCATTGCACTGGTTATTACACATTCCGTGTTGCACTCCTTCAGTTCTAGCGGTAAAGCGAACCGGGACAGGAAAGGTTATTTAAACTTCTCAGTTCTAAATCACAATGGCCGAGGCCTGAGGGGAGTTCTCTACGCTTGCGTTCTTGAGAGTGAAGGAACGGTGCAGTTTGGAGCTGTGCTAAAGTTTTCCCTGACAGAGCCTTGGGACGTCCTCCCGACGTGAAAAGTGCTATACAAATGTAATTTGTTGTTGGTTGTTGTTGTTGTCTGCCTTCAACATGGACAGAACACTGTAAGACACAGCCATATTAGATCCTTTTGATTGCAATTAACTTGCCGGGGGGGGGGGGGGGGGGGGGGGGGAAGGTTGTGTCAAATTTTTCGCCCTTTTGTCCCATTTTGCTTGAACTATTAAGAACAACACACTCTGAAAGAAAAGAAAGGAAACAGAAACCCAACTAGGCTTTTATCTTCTGGATGAAAAAAGGACTTCAGTGGTCCTTAAATATACTTGCTTATTTTTGGAATATAGACCCATCTTATCAAATTGCCGGTGAAGCACCTTCTTAAGCTTAATAGCCGTTAACAAATGCTTTGCAAGGCCAACGAATGTGTTTTACCTGCTGTTGTTCATGTCATGATGGCTGGTTTGGAACGCTGACAGAAAGAGCTATCTTTCATTACTCCAATCCCTGACACTGCAAACCCGTGTTTGTAAGATCAGCGTGAAATAACATCAGTGACTGACCCAAAACCCTTCCTTGCAAAAACCTCGGAAAAATCTACTCAAGCCTCGGCAGTTGGTTTGAGGTTCAAGGTAGATTTAAACAACCGCTCGAATATATCTGTATATCAATATGATCATGGTTTAATGCTTCCTCAGCTTATATATACAGTAAACTCCTTACAACTCATCATTCCAAGGGAAAAGAGCCGTGTGATGAGTTATCCTGTGTGGCAAGTTAAGCATGTAAATAAATACATAAATAAATGCGGACGTGATATTAACAGTACGATAACTTAAGTGGTAGTGATAAGTCAAGACAAGGTCAAGTTTTCAGGAGATTGTGTGAAAAAAAATTATTGCAAGGGATATGCGGCCAGGGCGAGTAATTGAAGTTGAGGTACAGATCAGCCGAGATCTTATAGAATGGCGGAACAGGCTGGAGGGGCTGAATGGCCTACTCCTGATCCTATGTTTCCATGATCTCCTTTCACCCTCATGAAGTGAGGGAATTCTCAGGATTATTTTGCCAATTGGCTTTATGTTTGCTTTCTTTCATTGTTGTTGTATGTTGCTAGTTATTGAGTGAGCAGAGATTCCTGAGTAAGATGGGAGGTGGGTGGGAGAGAGAAGTGGGGGAGCGGGGGGGAAGGGGCGGGGTGGTAGGGTCTGGTAGGGAGATAGGGGAAGAAAAAGACACTCTTCATTGTTGGCAGCGTCAGAACTTAAGGATTAAAAGGAATCGAGCCTG